TTTTTTTTCAAATACAGAATCGTAATATCGATTAAATAAAACACAAAACTCACAAGCAATGGAATGTTTACATTTTAATGACAATATTCTTAAATATATAAATATATAAGTACTTATACGATTTAAGTATGAAAGATTGTCTCACTCGATTATAATCAAACATTAACATTTTTCTATAGTGCGTTTCATATTTAGGATGTATTTTTAGTATCCTAATATGTACCTACTAAGGATGAAAGGTAGATGAGAGTCATTTTTGAGGTGGTTCAAATAGAAAAGTTGTATCTCAAAATATTAAACTGCAATTGAATAAGTGAAGATGGCGCTAGTGTGACTTCAGGGACTATATTGCGAGAAGTATACTGAATTAATTAGTTAAATAAATAAATAGAACTAAAAATAGAAATAAAATAGTATGTAAACCTTCTTTTACTAATAAATGTAAACCTTAAAATTCAAAACGTTTATGGAAGAATAACGCCATCTTACTTTATAGTTTCTTGATGTTCTTACAAAAAACTTCTCTATAAATATTAATATAGTTTTTCTTTTAATTTTCTTAGCACAATGGCCATATCATTAGTATATCAATCATGGATTATCTTCATTCAAGTTAGAAGGATAGACAATATAACCAATCTAATAGTATCATTCTACAGATTAGACAATCTTTCAGAATCAGTCCAGAAATTTATATAATATTAGAATGTAAAATATTTTTTACATAGGTACTTACTTACAAGTGTGATCTTAACGCACAAATATGGAAGTTTTTTTTTTTTTCACCAGAAGACGTACACAAATACAATTTAGAAAATGTGTTTTGAAAGACATTAATTGTGCTCTCTTTACAACTCAATTGAACATTTAAATCTGAGGAGTGATTAAATAAGTTACCGAATGAAAAACACCTTCTACTTACCGTAACATAATTATAATACTCGATACAGTACTGATAAATTATAAATTATTTTATTTAATTCCCCAAAAATATATACGATTGACGAAAACAATTTTACTGGCGCATCACTAAAACAAAGATCACTCCTCTATTTAATTTAAAATCTAAGACATATAATAATCTAAACGTCTTAATCTATAAAATCTATAGTATAAAAGATTATGTACGTATTTATAAGCCTATAATAAATTTAGTAAGTGGTTTTTTATATATCATTAAAGAGTAACAATGTATGTATGTACTGGTAATTTGATCAGTAATTTAACGTGACATCAGGTTGTCTTTTATGTAGTTCGAGCTCATATAATTATTGCGTTTCATACTTAATTTAATAAGATAAAAATTGACATTCAGGATCGATGTGTACTTGAAGAACCTTCGGAACAAAGCCTCCTATTAGTTAATACAACGAAATTATAACTAGCTTCCTAAAACTGCTGCCTAAAATAAAAGTAGGTAAGTAAATACAAACTGGTGGTAGGACCTCTTGTGAGTCCGCACGGGTAGGTACCACCACCCTGCCTATTTCGGCCGTGAAGCAGTAATGCGTTTCGGTTCGAAGGGTGGGGCAGCCGTTGTAACTATACAGAGACCTTAGAACTCATATCTCAAGGTGGGTGGCGCATTTACGTTGTAGATGTCTATGGGCTCCAGTAACCACTTAACACCAGGTGGGCTGTGAGCTCATCCACCCATCTAAGCAATAAAAAAAATACTTCAAAAAACAACCAGAAAATTTGTGACTATAATTAGCATCATACTCATTTGTCATAATTTTAAATCGGAACCAATATCCATTATCACTTAGAGCTTCGGAACATTTTCTGAAGGCATGTATTTTTGTATGGAACAAACGTTCATTAGGTATTTATTTTCTCTAATGACTACTCCTACATGTCACATTAAACGCAGACCCTAAATTTTTTGTAGAAGAAAAAGCAATAAGTATAAATTGATGGAACTTATTCCAAAAAAAAGTACTTTTTAATATACTTCAAATTACTGATCAAAGTAAAATTAATTATGTTGTTTACATATTAAATATTACGGTTAGTGTAAACTTTGCATTAGTATCACGAGGTTTCTATCTAGTTTTGTGAAAATATTATAATTATCATATACATATATCATATATTATCATATTTAAGCAAAATATACCTAAATACAAAAATTTTGGCGTACACAGTTCAGAATGAGCACAGATTAGGTAAAAAATGTAGATTAAATAGTTTTAGACGTAAACACAATAAAACATGTCCATAAAACTCGTTTTCTTTGATCAACAATTATTCATCTTTAAGAACAGCAATATAAAAAATTCAATGAAAAAAATACCTATTTAAAATACATAAATAATTTTATGTTTTTTGTAATTTTATGTTTGAACATGTTTACTCATAAACTGTATACACCATTTATAAAAAAAAAAACAAATTACAAACTAAATAAATTCTAGAACGCTTTGGAACATAACCTAAAAGTACAAAAAAAAAACCAAAAAAAAAAACATCCGTTACCAAGAACACAACAGATCTTCGTATTAACTTAACAAATAAAAACCATCACAAATAGGCAAGACAATATCTAAATTCCAATTATTTTTAACAATATTGCACTAAAATTGCAATGTACATTCATATGTACATTCGAAAGTTGAAAAAAAAGGTGCAAAATACGGCAGCCATTTTATTTCAAGTGTCAAAAAAAAACACAAGGTAATGCCAAAAAGGTTAGGTATGCAAAAGCGCATCTAACAGCATAGGAATACGGTTCAAATAACAAAGACTGTTTTCCGTGAATATCTCTTAGCTCACGGTTTAGTTCAGGCATAATGCATTTCATGTTATGTTGCATTCTCTTCAAAACTATTAAAATATTGTTTACTTTATTTAGTTTTATTTATGGCGGTTCAATGTGATATGCAAATTGTAAACCTTTAAAAGGTGCCTTAATTTTCTCAATTTTCTTTTCAATATAGCTCCAATTATTTTTTTTATATATGAGTCGTCTATTATCAAAGGTGGCAATCTGTGCATTTGGACAAAAAAATGTTATTGATATGTCAATACAGATTGATTTGAATATAATTGTCTCCTTCAAAGAATACGGTTCAAAACCTGCATTAAATAAAGGTTAATACTTAACCTGTTATTTATCTAAGATGTCGTTCAGAAGAGTTTTGTGACTGCCAATGGAATNGGTGGCAATCTGTGCATTTGGACAAAAAAATGTTATTGATATGTCAATACAGATTGATTTGAATATAATTGTCTCCTTCAAAGAATACGGTTCAAAACCTGCATTAAATAAAGGTTAATACTTAACCTGTTATTTATCTAAGATGTCGTTCAGAAGAGTTTTGTGACTGCCAATGGAATACAAAGTCAATAATTCGTTTTTCTGAATTACCAGTAATTGTCCAAAAGTCACATTGCCGGCTTTGATACTAGTCGACTCATATAAGCGACTATGTAATTAACTTTTCTTATACTTTGTGTCACAAGAGACGTACCGATATTTGTTAGGCTGTCTATGAAACATTTCGATTTTAAGCATCGATTTTATGATTTTACATCGGGGAGTATCGATTTTCGTGTGAACTTAAATTAAATTTTCAAAAAATAATCTTAATATAATAATAATAAACATAATTTGATTTGGTTGCGTTAATTTGGTTGCCACGGTCGGTGGTCAATGTCAAAAAAAAAAAAAACAAATCCTCAGTCTTTAATTAATTTTTAGTGATGTTTTTGTAATGTAAAAAATTTGGTATTCGAAATTTGGGCTTACATTAGTATTAGCAAATATCTACATTACGATTTTAAATGTTCTGTATTCCAGACGTCAAAGAAAGCTATTAATTCTTAAAGGTATGCCATAATATATATCCTATATATACCAAATATATATTATATTTAATAGGCGTAACGTTACCTAAGTACTTTATTTCAAAAACATACAAATCTTTTTGAAAAACCATATAATATGTGTGAATATAAAAATTAAATCAAAAGATTTATTTTTATTTAAGTACATACGTATCATGTAAATAAAGAAATTAATTAAAAACTTATAGAGCCCAACAGGGTCGTACCGTAGGCCAATAGACAATTTTTTTTTGTTTTTTTTAAAAGGTTATGGGATATTCATTATTCATTCTTTGATTTCATAAAATCGGAAATTCATTAATCAAAGCGATTGTGTAATCGTACGCAATAAATTCAGAATAAGTAAAAAGATTTAAAATATTACAACCAATCCTCTCGTATTTTAAACAAACAGAATTTTAATATAATTGCATTCAAAGGGAAGTTTAAATTGACTTATTTGTACATAAAATGGAAGGAATTGACCAATGGAAGACGAAACAAGAAGTATGTAAATATACTGATATGAAGGAATAGATAAATAAATAGAAATACATTTGTAAAATTATGATTAAAAAAAATGTCTTCTCACTATCAAAAGCGGAGCCCGGAGGAGCACAATCTCTCTCACAGACATTCAGTTTATAAATTAGCTTTTGAACATTCCAACCTAAGAGTGAAAGACATAATTTTTGAATATTTTTTAAAATTACATATGATTGTATTAAAAACGTGATGTGACAACCCTAACTGGTTTGCGATCGAAAATGTAGACACGGCGTATTCGTATCGACTTACCAAACACATAAAGCAAAACCTAAGTAAATATTTCCGTTCTTTCAAATTAAAGCTTCTCTCTTTGTATATTGCAAAGCTGCCAATTGCAGCAGTAGTTTAGCATCAGAAACCAATTTCTTTACTATAAAATATTCATGAAAATATTTTTTTTTTTTCACTTCTATCCTTTATTAGTTTAATTATTTGTTATATGTTCTTCAAACACATACCGCAATTTAATCAAAATAAATACGTAATCATAATGTTTAAACATAAAAAATAATGTACTATAGGGGGTCTAAAATTGATGCAGACTGATTATTAATTTTACTCACATTTAAAAATGTTTTTTTTTTCAAACAATTTTTATATCGACAGCAACTTTTTTTTCTGATTTCATATTAAGCATTAATTAAATCAATCACAACACTCAAAAAACAGTATCAAAGAAATCTAATAGTGCATTTGCTAACCTAACAGATTAATTTGACGATTCTAAAACTATGTATGGTACAACAAATGTATTTTGTATTGAAACACTGCCTAAGCTGACGCAAGTTAATCGGAACGTACCAGAGCAGTGGACCCGGGGCAGCAACGCAACTTGAACGTGGATTAAGTACATTAGAAGACGATTAAGTTGCCTGTACCAGCTTAAGTACTTATATTTACAGAAAACAAATAACATAAAGCTATCTTCGAAATATGTATATATATATATTTTTAATGACAATGAATTTTTCAAATAGAATAAATTTAAAATTTTTTCAATCATTACACTTCAGTTGGGTCGGTCGGTTTTAATATTATTACAAGAAAATAGTTTTTTTTTTTTTCATTAATATTGTCCTTATAGAGATGCACAAAATATACCAAAATTTTGTTCTCAAATGTAAATCACGGACATTAGCTCCAATCTGGGCTCACACATAACTAAATTTTATTTTAAGTCGGTATATGAGAACGTATCTTTTAATTTCGCGTATACTATCTTCATTTTATTTTTTATACGGCGACGAATACAGGGGATTAACTCTAATACAACGACATCTATTATGAAAAAATCATCGAACCAACAAAACAAAATATGCGCAGTCACTCTCATTGGAGATACACAGACTACAACACAAAATATATATTTATTTATTACACATAACAGGAGAAAACGAATTGATTTTATCTTTAATAATTAATCGTTCCAAACTATTCATATTTACTCCGCGATACATAGATAGCGCTAGTGTCCGTGATTTTTTTGAAGGTCGGTACATCTGCAGTAGATATTATTTATATATTAAAACTAGTTAAGTATATAATAGTCATATAGTACATAGTGCTTAGTAGGTTCGAGTACGTGCGGTTATGTCCGAGGATAGTAATGTCCCGTGCGAGCCGGCAGCGGAGGAGGCGTATCCTGAAAAGTACAAAATAAGTCTTATTAAGTTTTAGTCTTTGTAAGTTTCTTAGCCTTAGTTAGTAAGTCTTGTTAGTCTTAGTCATATAAGTTTTATACTTATTGCTTAGACGGGTGGATGAGCTCACGACCCATCTCATGTTAAGTGGTCGCCGGAGCCCTTATTAGCCGGAGATTACTGGTGGTAGGACCTCTTGTGAGTCCGCACGGGTAGGTAACATCACCCCGCTTATTTCTGCCGTGAAGCAGTAATGCGTTTCGGCTTGAAGGGCGGGGCAGCCGTTGTAACTATACTGAGACGTTAGAACTTATATCTCAAGGTGGGTGGCGCATTTACGTTGTAGATGTCTATGGGCTCCAGTAACCACTTAACATCAGGTGGGCTGTGAGCTCGTCCACCCATCTAAGCAATAAGAAAATTAAAAAAAAGCCCATAGACATCTGCAATCTAAATGCCCCCGCCCACCTTGAGACGTAAGTTCTAAGTCTGTTTTTACAGTACCACGGCTGCCCCAACCTTCAAATCAAAAAGCATTATTAGCTTAAGGCAGAAACAGGCGGACTTGTTGTATCTACCCGTGCGGGTTCACAGGAGGCTCTACCATCATTAAACAATTAAAACTACTTCAACAACTCGTGTTTTTTATTGTCATTATGTTATTTACGGCATTTGGTTTTCAAAAATCCGAACCGCCTGATGTGGTTATTGCAATTTCCAGGCCCGTATTTGGGAGTTTAGTACCTATTTTTCAACGGTTTTTGTACACATAATTAAAACGTTGCCACTACGACAGATGGCGTTACTCGTACCGGCAAAACAATATCTTAATATTTTATTTTTAATTGGTTTTTTTTTCTGTAAAAATGCATAGCTATTAACATGTCAAAATAAATACTAAGCTTTGATGAAAAAAAAAGAAAACATAAAAAAAGCAAGCAAACGAAAAATAAATAAAACAAACCTCAAAAAATAATTGCAAATTACGTTTCGTGACTAGGTGCTTATGCTCTGGAAAGAAAAAGAAAAAGAAAACGGTGACAAAATAACATATAGCTGAAAATAAAAAAAATAAAAAATAAAATAAGGATGAAATAAGTATACTGTCAAATGCACTAAATATACAATTTGCAAAATGTAATAGCACCTAGGACAACACCCAGGACAGCACCCCTATTTATTCCCGTCAATGTCGTCTGAGGAGACTGATTGACTGAGGAGTTCACAGGAGAATGAATAGCATCGTTCTCTGAGTACTACATTGTCCATTACGATCATCAACCCGCATTTACTGGTGGTGGGTGAGCTGACCGCTCATGTATACCACCATTCTGTCTAAATCTACTTCGAAGCAACTCTGGGTTCTGGTCCGAAGTCTGGGATAGCCGTTAAGAAATACATTTCATACCACACGCCTCGAATAGCGCCATTCTTGTCACGATGTTCATCGATTGATATAATATATTGGCATTTTCACATGATTTACGCGTAATATCATTTGCTAAACTAGCAGACTTGTAACAAACTACATAACAAACCATGTAACAAACTATATACAGGATCTGATTTATTTAGCAAAGCTGAAACACACTATAAGTTCGCATTAGGAGATATTTAAAGGATTATGTAATTTAGTTTCACTTTACCCGACCAACATATTACATTCAATTGACGTAAGACCCTTTGGCCTTTTAACTTTTGACGTTTTACTTTGATCAGTGTGACCATATTTTATTTTAATTATCCTAGATCAATACACTAGTGATAGCGACAACTTCATTGCAAGCTCCGAACGACAACATAGCTACAGGGCTACAACAAAGATCATCACTTAATCGTTCCCCCAAAACCTACCTAAATCGGAAACCCGGATCATAGAGCATTTTATAGCTTAACAACAGAAACATGAAGGTTGGTGAACTCCTACCGTGCGAAATGGTAATATACCTTAACGCTAGCGCTTAAGACTGAAATTCAACTAGATAAGGAACTATATTAAATAGGATAATATGTGAATATACCACTCCTAAGGCTTAGGAATGAAGTAATAGTTTTTTTTTATAGATTTCACAGTAACTTACTACATAATTTAAAAATTATTCAATAGATCACATAAACAGAATTCCAAGTAGAATGAAATGTAAAATATATGAATTTGAATGAAATGAATCAAAACATGGCGTGAGTGGGTTTTGTATTCACAATCGTGAGTCATAAAAGCTTTATAGTTATGAAGCTTACAAGAAAACTTACTTGTACATTAGTATCGTGTAGATAGTGTCTCGGCGGTTGAGGTCTAGGCATTGGCTCGTCGCTATCGTCGTCCTCTTCAAAATCTATATCGTAAACGTAATTTTAAAACATACAAATCAACTCCACTTTTGACACAAGCCAAACTAAAAACTGAGTTTTTTTTTTTAAGTACCGGGAATGCTGGTCAGGAATATTGGAATAAACTAGTGAAAGTATTGTACAGTCATCGATCTTTGAATCCTTGTGATAAAATATGAAAGTAAATCTTGAAGAAGGTAAAAGGAAAATTTTTTTTAATGAAAATTTCCACTATTAACAGAACTGTGATAATAATTGTACTTTTTATTATGAAGAAAGTTTTCCTACCTATGCTGATAGCCTTGAGATTCAATATCTAAAACTCCGGAAATCATTTTAAACTTCTTTCATTAACAAAAATTATATCCCTAAATAACAAACGTTATTTTATTTCGATTGAAAATTGCTTTGGATTTTTAAGTTGCAAAAAAATTAATGAAATACAAAAAAAGATTAGATACCTATCTTCATGTTATTCCTTAGTATGTATTTTCCATTAAATGTTTTGGTCACACATATCCGAATAAAAGATTTCTAAGTTACGCAAACTTCTAAATACAGAACAAAATGGACGAAATCACATTCAGAAGACATGCAAATCCATGCAGGACTGAGTTAGGAATCAGTTTCCAAAACATTGACAAGTTTTGCGTTTTTTTTCCTCAAATTGAGTTGAAGTTATACAATTTTCAATAAAACAGAACATTCAAAAGGTTGCTTAGTTAGAAAATTTATTTCCAATACAATTCAGTATTCAAAATGTAGTCCCAACCTAATAGGAGGTTTCATTGATTGAAGACATGAGTGGATGAAGGGGTTAAATACCATTTTTAAGATTTTTGAGTTTTTACATTGAATGAGGGTGTTATGTGCCTATAAAACATAATAGACCTTAAAACGTCGGGTGTAAAGGCTATTTTTAGAGATTGCATGTGATGAAGGAGTTATGTAAGAAAAAGTATAAGTAACAAAAAATTGACGCCCGTTTTCTTAAAATTAACAAATTGTTTCACATGCCCTTCATCCACTCATGTCTTCAATTCCAAAGATACCTTAGTTCAGCGGTGACGTCACAATGTAACCAATGTTAATGCGTTTCGGGTTATTTTATAATTATTTTTTTAATGTCAAATTCGAACTCGAGGTTAATTTGAACGCGATTCTTAATTTTCATTAACGTGATTCTAATGCGAAATTTACATTACGAAATTAGTGTCATGCATGTTGAGCTCAGTGTCACGAAAGTAGTTTCGATATAATATAATACCACTGGTGGTAGGACCTCTTGGGAGTCCGCACGGGTAGGTACCACCACCCCGCCTATTTCCGCCGTGAAGCAGTAATGCGTTTCGGTTTAAAGGGCGGGGTAGCCGTTGTAACTATACTGAGATCTTAGAACTATATCTCGAGGTGGGTGGCGCATCTACGTTGTAGATGTCTATGGGCTCCAGTAACCACTTAAGACCAGGTGGGCTGTGAACTCGTCCATCTATCTAAGCAATAAAAATAATAATAATAATATGCGAAAGTAATTTCGTTAAAAAATTAGTGTCGCGAAATCCACAGTATCATATTTTTATATATTTATATTTATTATATAAGCTATATTTTATATAAGCTATATTTTGCTATATTGAATGTAGCTAAAGAAATGCTTATATACCTGTAAACTTAAAAAAAAGACTATCAAGAAAAAAGAAAGACGTTGGTTGGTAGATTCGAGGATGGTTAACTAAGGATAAGTTAGTCTCTGAATTAGCCGATGACGATCCTGAGAGCTATAAAAACTATTTTCGAATGAGTGAAGATAATTTTGATTTTTTTACTGTAGGTGTTTCGGGTCCCAGAGACACCCCTGTTGCTGATATTCAATAATGAAATCTATATTTTTATCTGTACTCCATCGTTGGTTTGCCATTTTCAACGCTCGAAGCGCGTGCGAACTCAAAATACACACGTCCGCACAGCGTAGGCCCTTTCGCGACATTACTTTCACGTCGCGTCTACAATACTTCATTACTGGTGGTAGGACCACTTGTGAGTCCGCGCGGATAGGTACCACCGCCCTGCTTATTTCTGCCGTGAAGCAGTAATGCGTTTCGGTTTGAAGGGTCCCCACCCTTCAAAGCCGTTGTAACTATACTGAGACTTTAGAACTTGTATCTCAAGGTGGGTGGCGCGTCCACGTTGTAGATGTCTATGGGCTCCAGTAACCACTTAACATCAGGTGGGCTGTGAGCTCGTCCACCCATCTAACAAAAAAAAAAAAAAACTATAAAATTAGTTGCATGACACTAATTTCACCAAAAAATCGCGCAGGCCACGAAACTTATTTACATTCATGAAATTATTGCATGCATTACGAAAATATTACTATTATTATATAATTTACTAATTAATTTTATAAATATGTCACGAAATTAATTTCATGCCACTAATTTCGCAATGTAAATTCGCCTTGTAATTATTTTTTGTTATATACAGACACACAATATTCATTAAATTTAAACAAACTATTGGCACCTACCTCTTTGCTTTCTCGAATCGCCTTTAACCGTATCTTCNCCACCGCCCTGCTTATTTCTGCCGTGAAGCAGTAATGCGTTTCGGTTTGAAGGGTGGGGTAGCCGTTGTAACTATACTGAGACTTTAGAACTTGTATCTCAAGGTGGGTGGCGCGTCCACGTTGTAGATGTCTATGGGCTCCAGTAACCACTTAACATCAGGTGGGCTGTGAGCTCGTCCACCCATCTAAGCAATAAAAAAAAAAAAAAACTATAAAATTAGTTGCATCACACTAATTTCACCAAAAAATCGCGCAGGCCACGAAACTTATTTACATTCATGAAATTATTGCATGTATTACGAAAATATTACTATTATTATATAATTTACTAATTTCATGCCACTAATTTCGCAATGTAAATTCGCCTTGTAATTATTTTTTGTTATATACGGACACACAATATTCATTAAGCTTAAACAAACTATTGGCACCTACCTCTTTGCTTTCTCGAATCGCCTTTAACCGTATCTTCGGTGTCTGAGCCCTCTGTAAAACATTTACCAATTTGACGTGACTGAAAGCTAGACCGGAACGCACAACTTTTCAAACTTTAACTTTAAATCCCTTTAAGAATATATCAAATTCAATACAGAGGTGCTGTCTAGGAGGATGCCTTTGGAGACTGCCCCTTCCACGTAATCTAATTATTTAAGGCTTTTTTTGGTTGCTCTGAGTGGACAGACATGCTCACGCAACACTTGATTGAGTGATAACCGAGGCTCAGAAATGTCTCAACGTGTTCATCTTAGACATTGCTTTTCCGGTCCAGCTTAATGTACTTTTGTACCTTAAATAATCTTAAATTTACATAGCGAATGTTTTTTTTTTAATTGTTTTTTTTCTAATTTCGAACACACAAATTAAAAAAAAATATTAATATTTGTTATGTGACGAAACGATTGAAGTTAATGAATCTTTATTTTAATCAGTTTTGCAGATCTACTTATTATAACAATAATTTCAAAATGAGGGTTTTCACAAGTCAAGGGTGTGATTTGTAACTGTAGAGTTACTATCTTGCGTATCCTATATAGTATAAATAGGCACAATAGTTCAGTATTTTTCCGCATATGTTTTGCCGGTTGCCATTTACTGACACATAAAACAAAATTTGAAATAAATTTTACTCATATTTCCAATAAGGAATTGGAAACAAAAGCGACAATTTAATATACATGAGTAGAATTTAGTTTTTTAGGTGTCCGATCCCAAAACACCCTGTATACTAATAACATGATCTTAACCAAACCATACATCAAGCCGTAAGTGTTTTGCCATCACGATTTCTTAGTGTTATTTGCTTGATCTGTATTAATATTACTAACAATAATCTATGCTTACTTCTAACAAGATGTTTTACATCTGGTGAACAATAAGTATCACTCTTACATACAGGGAGTTCGAAAAGTTGAAAATAATTTTAAGCATGCAGTGCGCATTCAATAAACATCCATTGTCCAAAAGACTGCAACATCAGGAATAAGTTACAACGAAAATATTATAGAGCTTAGAAAATAGAGAAAGATATTTTGAAGAATGTCATGCCCAATGCACTTTTAAAATTATTTGACCTAATCATATTTCTGAACATGCTTCCTGTTTAGGTAAATATAAATAATATATTATTAGATTTGTTGATTTGGGAATTTTGGGAATCAGTTTTATCGTAGTGACTGTTTTTTTTTTTCCTCCCAACTTTTTTAACAAATAATGTAATTGTTGTAAAACTTAGACTTTAATTATTTTACTTTTGCATTTAATAATATAATTCCCAAATTATTGTTTCATTTTTAACATGAACGTAACTACAATAAAAATAATTCACAATTCGAGGGTAGGTGTTTAGGTACACACATAACATAATTTATTACATGAAATCGAAACTGACCTGAATTGAGTTCTCTGACCAGAGTGGACATGGCGTTCGTCACAGAATCCGCAGCGTATAGAAGGTCGCTCCTTAGACTACGATTGTCTATGCCCACTGCACACAAATAAAATAAAAAGACTTCTTGGCGGGAACGCGAGCAGTGAAGTTGTGTGATTTGTTTTATTTTGTCTATTTAGTGTTTCTTCAGGTTTAAATGTGTAATAACGGTGGTTTATTAACTGTTTAATATCTGTGAAAGTGCACAAATGTGGGAAAATGAAACAAAGCTGCTGGACGTAACTTCTCGGGTTCCTCCAAAAAGTCCACTGAAAAAATCTCAGTAAATGACCACCATTTTACTGCGATTATATTTCATCCCATATCATCTCATTTCATTAAATTTCATCCCAGTTGATTAATGTCTCAAATTAATCATCTTCATTTCATTTCACTCCATATTATCATTTTTCATAAAATTAAGAATATAAAGTAAAATAAGACATGACTTAAAGGTCTTAGTTACCAGGTCATAAAATCTCTTAAAAAAATAAAATAAAAACATATAGTTTTTTTATTAAACACACGGCTTACCTCACAATTAAGAGTAATAGAAAACCTTATCAACCTAAAGAACGATGCTGACTCAGAATGGGAATCAAACCAGGTAACCGTGGCACAATAGTAGCAGCTTTTAATTTTGATGATGTTTGATGAAGTTTTATATCACGATATCTTCTATCTATATATTCTACAAGCGGCCCGCTCCGGCTCCGCTCGGGTATTTAACGAAAATTTCAACGATATTTGACGTTGCTTTATTTTTTTTTAAATAAAAGAACACTTATTGCGGCATAACTATAATAGTTAGACATATACTGTCGGGACATTTTTTGTAAATAATAATGTGTTCTACAAAGTCGTAGTACATTATTTTATTCTATTATCAATAATTTTCGCAGGACGCGTGATGTAAAGAATATTTTACGTAATTTTTTACCCCTTGGGTTACATTATTGGAGTTTTAGTAAGGAACCCTAATTTTTTTCATTTTTTTAATTTCAAAAAGATTATAAGCCTATGTCACTCGAGAATAGTGTAGCTTCCAAACAGTAAAAGAATTTTTCAAATCGGTTCAGTAGTTTCAGAGCCTATTCAATACAAACAAACAAATCTTTCCTCTTTATAATTTTATAGTATAGATATGGTGATTATAGTATAGAAACACCTGGTGTTAAGTGGTTATTGGAGCCCATAGACATCTACAACGTAAATGCCGCCAACCACCTTGAGATATAAGTTCTAAGGTCTCAGTATAGTTACAACGGCTGCCCCGCCCTTCAAACCGAAACGCATTACTGCTTCACAGCAGAATTAAGCTACGTTATCTGGCATAACGTTCTGCCTATTCATAAATAGTAGCATAAATACATCCATAATGTATTTTTTAAATTTCAATAAATTTTCGCATAGTTAGTAATACATATTTGTGAAATGTAATAAATAGAACTTACTGGTCGTAGGCCTTTGGTTCTGAGGGAAGCATCTCGTTTCATTGGACATGCTCTCCATTGCACCTAAAACGAATTACAAATTATTATTTTATCACTGAATATGATAAGAAAAATGTTCGACATTCTACAGTTTAAAATAAAGACGTGTTTTTTTTCTCCTACCTATGCTGATAGCCTTGAGAGGCTATTTCAGCTTCACCCTAACGTGTAAGTGAGCTCACGGGGCTCAAACCGGAAGTTTTTTTTTTATTGCTTAGATGGATGAACGAGCTCACAGTCAAGTTGGTGTTAAGTGGTTACTGGAGCCCATAGACGTCTACAACTACAACATCTATAAATGCAGCACCCACCTTGAGATATAAGTTCTAAGGTCTCAGTATAGTTACAACGGCTACCCCACGCTTCAAACCGAAACGCATTACTGCTTCACGGCAGAAATAGGCGGGGTGGTGGTTCCTACACGTGCAGACTCACAAGAGGTCCTGCCACCAGTAACACTGGCCCCAGGCAAGAGTAGTGCTGCGCAGAATCTACCACCGGATCGGAAACGCGACCCACTGAGAAGATCCGGCGAGAAACTCAGCGGGCTGTGTCTATGGGTTACGACGTGTACTTATTACGTAAACGTATTCAAATCATGACTGCTTCAACAACAACAAAAACTAGATCCAGCCGATTTATTTCCGACACATTTGGTATTGACAATAGTGACTCTCATTTCTCTGCACCTTTACATTGCTTCAGGTTGCCAAATTCTATTTCGATAAATCATTATTTCACAGATTTTTAATTATAAGATAAGATATTTTTATTGGTGTATTAGTATGGTACCTATTTCTGCCGTGAAGCAGTAATGAGTTTCGGCATGAAGGGTGGGACAGCCGTTGTAACTATACTAATATCTTAGAACTCTTTATTTCCAATTGGGTGGCGGCATTTACGTTGTAGATGTTTATGGGGTCCGGTAACCACTTAACACTAGGTGGGCCGTGAGCTCGTTCACCCATCTAAGCAACAATATATAGATAGATAAGTTATTATAAGATAAAATTTTAAAGAAGTTTACGTCACACCCTGTATATAACTAGCGGACAGCTTACCGAGACTGTGCGTCATGTCGATCCGCTCTCTCTCGCCGAGAGATGGCGTTTGAGGCGCGCTTCTCACGTTGCCGCGGCCGCTCGTGTCTCTGTTCAATAACATTTTCATTACTTTAATACAATTTACAAAGTCTACAGTTAATCAAATTGGAAGATGAATATTGAAAAAAAAAAAACATGTGTGCAATTCTCACGCGGTAGAAGTGAAACCTTCAAAAATTAAAAAACAATTATCCTAAATGTCTAAGTATATGTAAAATTTTGTCATTAGTAAATAATGGTAAATCACCTTTTATAGTATGAGTTAGCACCCTCTGTGAATTGATATTTTCACTTCACGTATAATCCTAAATTAAAATTCACTACACAAGGTTTTATACACACGTTAGTATTAAAAAATCTCATAGATGGCGCTGTATTAAAAAAAAAACACTATGGACTTATTTTTTCGTTTCATCGAGTTTGAAATCAAAACGATTCTAAAGAAGTTTCACTTCAAAATTTTTTTCCTCCAAAATAAATGTTTAATTTATTTGACATTGAAACTATTCGGTCACTACTTTTACCATTTACTAATAATAGTAATATCCACAAATAATCTCACAATAAGGTGGCTAAATTAAAAATGTACTATATTTGTTTATTATACAAGTATGTTACTTAGCTATTTACCTTTCCGGTGCAGACGGTTGAGTTTGAGCTCCCGGCAAAGGTGGACTTTTGGTGGATCTAGGAGACGAATTGGGCGTCGAACGCGGTGATGATTGTTGTGTCTGAAACAAAAACAAAAAAAAAGTAATCTGTAGATTTGTAATAAAGATGACGATTGTTAAAGAATTTATAAAAAAAAATTATGAGGATGATGAAAAAACACACACTGTATATAAACAAAATAATTTGTCGCGAAAAAACAACATACTCTACATAACAATACGAAATAGTGTGACACGAAAAAAGCATTTAAATCGTAAACTTTGGCATTCGTTATTTACAAGAGGCGCAACATAAAACTATAATAAGAATTTTAATGACGCTACAGAATTTAGTTACAGCATAACATATTCTTTGACTTTTCAACAATTACAAGAATTTCAATAACAAAATGATAACAAAAAATAACAAAGTTAACCATAAAACCGTACATACTATAAATTAAAGAGCATTTTTATTCTAACCCAAACCTCTTAGCGGATTGCCATCGGGATGTACTATCCGATTTATATCTTTGTTACCGGTTTATTCTACGTCACTAGTCTTCCTCAAACGAAAGACGCACGTATTTCGGACGCAAGAAATGTGACTTCAGAAAAACAAATAAAATGTACTTCTAATTATCTGAAATCATTTACGGACTGCTTTAACGACGACATGCGACACGATGACGGCTTGAGTGATTCTACTTCGAGAGGTGAGTCCGTTTTAGCTTCGGAAGCGGTAATTTTTTGTGACCGTATCATTATTTATTTATTTATTAGGCACACAATATACATTACAAGCTTAAAATATACACAATAAGTAACAACAAGTAAAAAATCGGGCTTGTAACATAAGCCGACCAAACAAATCTGCTGAGTGTGTATACAAAGTTCCTTTTTTTTTTTTATTGCCCTTGTAGGCAGACGAGCATACGGCCCACCTGATGGTGAGTGGTTACCGTCGCCCATGGACTTCAGCAATGCCAGGGGCAGAGCCAAGCCGCTGCCTACCGTTACAATTACAATAACGAGAACTAATCAACTTCACACTTTCACTCACAATATATAATACATTAAACAATTAGACTATGTCCTTAATTTACTATTAACGTTAACATGGAGGATGCCCTTGAAAATTTTTATAAATGTCACTAGCCCACTTTTTTTCCTACCTATGCTGATAGCCTTAAGAGGCTATATCAGCTTCACCCTTACGTGTAGGTGAGCTCACGGGGCTCAAACCGGGAGTGTTGCTAACACTGGCCCTAGCAAGAGCAGTGCTCCGCAGAATCTACCACCAAATCGGCAACGCGACCCACTAAGAAGATCCGGCGAGAAACTCAGTGGGCTGTGTCTATGGGTTAACTTCCTCGTCGAGCCCTTCGTCGCAAGCGACGGGTTCGGCGAGGACGATGACCGGTGCTTGAGGTACCTAAGAGCAGCGTTAATTGATCGGGAGGATCCGTAATTTCGTGCTTAAGGCCTAACCTATAAGTAAAAATGTGCAACTCTTTTGACGACTTTGCCAGTTCATTATAGATGCGAGACATTCGGGTAATATTATAATATGATATATTGTTCTTGTAAATTATTAATGCAAACACATTGTTTTGGTTTAAAACAATGTGTTCTTAACGCTCGCGTTAAGACACGTCCGATACACGTACCGATATCTGATACCTATAATCAAACTGCGCAAATAGTCGATATTCTGACGCTCCGCATTTTATACGCATTAATAGAGAGTCTATCTATCGACGGTTCACGTTCAAATTGTTAATAAACTCATTACGGTTGTATACTGAATTTTATTTTTAATTCATTCACTAAAGTTAGAAAATCAGAATTTCATACAAAACTCATTTCTAAAATAACACATCTATATTGAAGCCTGATTTAAATTTAATTTCAGAGGGCGGCAACACATATGAGTGTTTACAAGATTTGGCGAGAGTATTCAAACTATGTATGGAGAACGAGCCGCATTGGAATGAACACATAAGCGAAGAAAAATCGTCTGAAGAAGAAAGATCTCTAGATCACCCGTTCAAGCTGTTTCCGATTACACCGAATGACAACGACGCGCAATGGACGCAATCCAGTTTGTATACATTAGATTTTGGTTACAATATATACTTATGAACACTATCCTGATACTGAAGTTAGTTCACATCGCCCTAAGCACGTCCGGTAACCATTTAACACTAGGCGGGCCGTGAGCTCGTCCAGCCATATCTATATATATAAAAATGAAACCCGTTTTCCGTTGTCACGACATAACATGAAAACGGCTTGACCGATTTGGCTAATTTTGGTCTTGAATTATTTGTGGAAGTCCAGAGAAGGTTTAAAAGGTATAAAAATATGAAAATTCTCGGAATTAAATAAAAATAACAATTTTGTTTTCCCTTTGACGTGTCCCCCGTCGGACGGATTCCTTTTGTTTGTTTTAAGTTTATTCTATATAAAAGTTTAGGTCTTTTATTTATCGATTGAGGCACTGCGAAGTCTGCCGGGTCAGCTAGTAAGCAATAAAAAAAGTGCAGTTACATAAGTAATTATGTTGTAGGAGCTAGTAGATATCACAATGCGAGTCGATAGTGGTGATGCTGACAATTCTAGGTGTTCTATACGATAAATATTCGAAAGAATAAAATATATTCCAAATGTAGTTTAATTAAATGTCTAATATTAAAAAATTCTGCTCTTTTTACAGAATTTCACAAACCCGGACACGCTAAGAAGAAGTATTGTAATAAACATTCCGAATAATAATTTATACAAAATTAACAGGAAAATATATTTTTCTCTTTTTTTTTTCTTAATAATTGTATACTTTCATTTTGTACTTTCATTTATGTTGAATATTTTTTTTTTGATTTGATTTGAATAAATTATACGACTAAATTAAATGTGGTAATATTTTATTTATTATAAGCTATTTGACTCGGCAGACTTCGTAGTGTCTCAATCGATAAATAAAATACCCAATTTTTTGTATAAAATAAACTTAAAACAAACCAAAGGAATCCGTCCGACGGGGGACACATCAAAAGGAAAACAAAATTATTATTTTTATTTAATTCCGAGCATTTTCATATTTATCTACCTTTTAAACCTTCTGTGGACTTCCACAAATAATTCAAGACCAAAATTAGCCAAATCGGTCCAGCCGTTCTCGAGTTTTAGCGAGACTAACGAACAGAAATTCATTTTTATATATATATATATATATAGATAAGACATGTTTTTATAGTTACTTATAACGGACTTATGACGCACAGATAATTCACTGTTGATTAAGATCACTTATGTTCACACTTGTTACATTTTTAGGTCTATATGCCACTATGTAAGAATTCCTATTATAAAAAACCACACCCTGTACCCTGTACGTAACCCACTATACAGCGTGATATTTTAATAATACATTTGAAAACCAATATTTACCTTCAGCATCCTCATGAGTCCCTCGAGCTGCTGCATTAGGTGTTTCCTGGAGTCCTGAAGCGAGGAGAGATGTCCTTCGAGTTCGTCCTTCCGTTGTCTGAGGGCTCTCAGCTCCGACACCAGCGGCGGGGCCGACGTCGAACCAGCACCGGCTTCGGCTTCCTGTTGGCGTCTGTAGCAACAAATTATATCAACTCATCATCATCAGCCTGTATCTCTGCACTGCTTGATGTAGACCTCTCCCATGGTCCACCACAATTAACGATCCTCCGCCTTCCGCATCCAATCTTTCCCAGCATATCGCCGCAAGTCATCGGTCCAATGGGCAAGGGGACGCCCAACGCTGCGCTTACCGGTACGTGGTCTCCAGTCCAGAACACGTCTGCCCATTGCCATTTGTGACTACTGGCATAACCCTCCCAATGGACAAAGCAAAAATTACATCAACTCACTAAACGAAAATTAATTGTACTAGACATTAAATTCAATCAGATGAACGATGTCTGAATCTATAGACTGAATTCAGCACATCAACTATGTAGTGTTTCGGGAGGACCTACCTGAGTCTCGCTATTTCCCTCATAATTTCTCGATTCTTAGCCTCCAGCTGTGAGATGAGCTCGCGCTGTTGTCGAGCCGCGTCCACTTCCGAGCCTTCGGACGACGAACGACCCTAGAACGTACATAATTTAATTAGTAAAACGGTCATAAAAAACGATGCGGCGCGCAACTTGGTGCACGTGAATGAAGTGAAACTTCTTTTTCTATGTGCTGTGCATAAGGGATGCGACATCCTCAACATTTATATTATATATATTTTAAATGATAGATGGAAAAATAAATCTATATTAATATATAAATCTACAGTGGTTTTTACGGATGTTCCGTTATAACTACTGAACCATGCATCCGAATGACTTAAAATTTGGTATCCATGTAGAAAATACATGTACTTAATGGATAGGCTAATATTTATATTAGTGTTGGACTCCCTACACCAGTTGCGGGGACGTTAATGATGAGAATCTTTGTGGGGGTGGGAAATAATAATGTTAATTTGAAATGCCCAGCGAAGCGGACGGTTACAGCTAGTATGTAAATATTATTTTAAATAATTCATTAATATATTGAACGCTCTCGTTGCTAACGCTCGCGCTGGCCTACAGGCATACTACGCGCGTGCGTTCGAGTGCCTCGCATTCACTCTCGCTCTGTCTCTTTCTATTTCATGGTAGCTTTAAACGTTTAATGCAACCTTGTTGGAAGTCGCATTAGAAGTTTCACTTCAAAAATATTGAATTGACATTATATTTCGTACAAAAAGTATACGTACCAACTCAGGGGTCAAGGAGGCCGATCTTCCAGCACGAGGCTATGAATTGAAAAACATATAATTGTGAGTAGAGATAAGGATTTTAGTAATCAATTTAAATATTATATGTTTTAATTCACAAGTCTCACCATGGTCCGATTTTCCTGGGCCAGTCTAGCCGCGTACCGCGCTATGAGGCGGTGCTCGTCGTCCACTCCACGCGATAGATGCTCTGCTATACCTGCAACATAAATGTATTTATTAATTATAAATTCTAATAAATGGCTTATTATAGAGTTCCATGTCTTAAATGCTGACAAATTGATTTAAATTATTCTTGGAAATAAAAATACCAATTTCGTTAAGTGAGTTCGAGGTAGTTTCAAAGTAATATCTTAGAATACGTTTATGTATGAATTAACCTAATAGGATAAGCGGCGGCTTCCATGCTGTGATGTGTATTTGCTCCAATAACCACTTAAAACCAGGTAGACCGTGAATTTGTTTACCCTTCTATACAATAAATGAAGCTAATACCAATGAAAATATGAACGAGATGAGAAATAGACTAGTATTACTAATAATAAAAAATTTGCCAATTATTTTAATATTTTTTCTTTCAAAATGTGAAAACTACAGAGACAATGTAATATATAAAATTAATCTAAGTCTTGAGGTATCAGTCATTACGGTCGAATTTTGTTCGTCGGATGAACACTAGTACAGATAAATATAGATACGTACTGCGATGTGTGGATCGGGACGAACGTGAATCCAAAGAGCCCGTGTTGACGTAGCCACCCACGTACTCCGGGAAGCCGTTGTGGGCCGGCACTGGGGACGGAGGCCTGATAACACAATAATATATTGCAAATACTTTTTTTTAAAGGGTTTTTATGACCTGGTAACTAAGACCTTTAGGTAAAGTCTTATTTTAATATATACTCATAATTTTTATGAAAAATGATAATGTGGAGTGAAATGATATTAAATGCAATGAAATGAGATGATATAGGATGAAATATAATCTCAGTAAAATGGTGGTCATTTACTGAGATTTTTTTCAGTGGACTTTTCGGACGATCCCGAGAAGTTACGTCCAGCGGCTTTCATTTTCCCACATTTGTGCACTTTCACAGATATAATATAATAATATATATAAAAAATAGTTTGATGCACTAACACAATATGGCTGAGGTTGAGCGTCCTCTCTGGTTGATCGGGGTACCGCGGCAGCTGAGCTCGGGCCCGTTCGGGAACGCAGCGGAACGACTTCCGTAACGTAGCGCCGATCTGCTTCGACGGAGATTTCTGGAACAATTCATTCAACAATCACACGACTTCGCTCTCCGCTTCGCCGCCAAGAAGTCCGGTGGTACTTACGTATGAGGCGTACTCCTTGACCTCGTGGTCGTCGGCGTGCGGCGGCGCCGGGCGGCCCCGCCAGAAGCAGTCCTGGCAGAGCGTGCAGCTGGCGCAGCGCGTGCAGCGGTACCGGAAGCCGGTGAGCGAGCCGCGCCGGCACGCGCTGCACGACATCGGGTGCACCACTGGGGAATGCGAAAACGAACTTTGTTATTTCCATCTGAACATTGATACACCACTTAACACAAGATGGGCTGTGGGCTCGAGGTCTATTCCAGATTATTCTCATTCTGAAGGAAAAATGTCTTAAGGTAATGATTCACGTTAACTTAATCTACGAGACATTTTCTCAAATATTTCTTCTCGTGAAACGTGCAATACAAAATACAGAGAATATAATGTATGTATGTATATGTTACGGTAAAAGTAGATATTGCGGTAAATGTGCACGTTTGCCTCCTCGTTTGGGTAATGTGCATTCAAATAACATTTACAAATTCAAAGGGAAATGTACATTGAATTCACAATGACCATGTCGTTTTGGTAAACGTGAGCATGGCATACAAAATACGAAATCGCAAGGCCTAGTAATGTGGTGCGCATGCGCATGCCCTTGTGCATGCACCTCACGTAACCTACGAGATATTATATAATATGCAAAGAAAAGTATGTTTTCTATGTTATTTACATTTTTTAATTAAAATAATTTTCGTTATTAAAGCCTTTATGTATTATGTTTATTTAAATATATTTTTTACTGCTACAACATTATTAATATATTTGTATTTTCTGTAACTTTTCTTAAAACACGAAGGTAAGCGTATACATTTACCAAAACATGAAGGCAAGAGTGCACATTTACCGGTAAAAGTGTACATTTCCCAAGAGTGTGCATTTACCGTAACATATACATTCAATTTTATCTACATTCCAATAAGTATCTCTTACTCCTCAATATGTTTAAAATTCGTGGCATTAAAAAAGCGACTCTAAATCGAGTCTTTTAAGGTTTAGCATATAATAAAATAAAATAGAATACTTTTGATATAATCTTATTTATATTTATAAAGAGTGTTAACTGCAAGCATGTTTTGGTTTCAGGAAACATTCATTACAAAACAAAAATATTTTATGAGCTTGAATTTGAAAGGTAGTATAACAGTTATTCCAATATATATCAAACCCGCATCTATGTCTAGGTTGGAGACTGCATTCTATGTGATGTGAACCCGATAATCACTTAACACCAGATAGGCTGTGAACTCACACCACTCTACACAATAAAAGATAATGCATTTAGGCTTCATTTTGATGATAGCAAAAATTGTTTCAGTACTTATTTCTAGTTATAAGTTACTTACCATTTTCAACACTGGCAAGGCGATGCAATAATGGTAGCCAGACCAGGCATGGAGGACCAGGATCAGACATTAATGTGTCTAGGAAGTCATTCACTGTTATCTTTCCATTCTGAAAAAATATATAACATAGTATTAGTCAAATTCAAGTTCAAGAGTAATTGAAATGAATTTTTTTTTTCCACCAACACACAACCACAGTAGAAGTACTATAATATTTAAAAGAAATGCTATATATATTAGTTCAAGTTTAACATAAAAAGGATCCAATTTTTTTACATACCTGATTAAAAATAGTTAGTGCCAATGTATCATTATAACTAAACGATGGTGACTCATACACAGCTGCAGGCAAGGCCAGTACTTCACGTAGATAGTCAGACAGTCTCTTCATCAATAAATGACCATTACCATCTGATAATTGCGAAAATATATCTGTGGAAGATATAAACTCAGCTGACTAAAAGATTTAAGAAAGCAGATATCTATTTAATATCTACTTTATTAAAATGGTGTACTTTATTTTGTTTATGTTTTGTTAATAATTCTGTAATATTTTAACTTTATGATATACTTGATACATATATAAGACATAACCAAACAAGGTAGATAAATTACTCTTTATTGAAACACTATAAATATAAAAGAGCATTGAAATAACAAATACCATCCCTGTCTGGATTGGCATTATTTATTACACAAAATTAAAAGTTTTCAATGAAGAAAACATTATACAATGTGTATATGTGTATGCATTTACAAAATATGTTTTGTATGGTATATATTTCTGCTTCCATACATCTAAATTTACATAAAAATGTTTAAGCCAAAATTTCAAATAATCTAAAAATTACCAACATAGGTTTAGGAATGTATTTATTACCTGTTGCTTAAATATGTTAAGTGAGGGCTACAGTCTCACACTAAAATCACTTACATGAACAACAATTAGATTTAAAAATATCACATACCACCATTAATTTCTATAGCTAATTTTGTAATACATTATTGTTAAATTTATCTGAGGTCGTTATTTATTACTTAATTTTTCTAATAAACACTCACATCGTAGTTTATCCATAAGTTTACCAGCGCACATTGTAGCTAATGCCACTTTAATTGAGAATACTCTGATTTTTCCCACATTCTCACTGAAATAATAATTTTAAAAAATTGATTATACAAAAAATTGCAAGACATAATGTTTGTGACATAATCAGAGTAAAGTCAAAGATATGACTAGTATTTAAGTTGAAAATGTAAGTGTAAGCATAAAATGATGCTTTGTTTTGATCCTCTGAAATTTAAGTAACATAAAAATTGTATGAAAATTTGTGTACAGATTTACATTTTTGGGTGTTCAATTTAAGATAGTCTATCAAATTATTATTTTTATTGTTTTTGTAGGCAGGCATATGGTCCACCTGATATTGAGTGGTTATCGTCGCCCATGAACTCCAACAATGCCAGGGGCAGAGCTAAGCCGCTGCCTACCGCCTATCTCTTCAATTCTAATATTCTTCTATAAACTTCTATCAGGAATACATGTAGATATAAAAATAAATCACTTACCCAGTACTGTATGCTGACAATAGCCAGTTTAAGAGTAAAGCTGAGCACGCTTCTACTGAAACTTGGTGAGCAGGCGGTAAGCGTTTATTGAGATTATGATACAGAGATGACACTAAAGTTTCTAATCTTGTGACGTTTACACAGGCTGTTGGCTCTAATGTATTGAGTGCGTTCTCACGAAATGCTTCTATCACATTCCATATGTCTATGACATGTACTGAAATACAAATATCCTTAATTAAACTTGCAAATTGACATCAATAAGTTATAACCATAATAGGTAAGGGAATGGACTCTATGTGAAGGGACAATTGGGTAGACACAGGTGGAAGAAGAAAATTAAAACCTTAACCATATACCATAAACCATTACGTTCTTCACCATCACTCAAAGGTCAAGGAAAGGGGAAGATAAATGACAAAACAACTACAAATTCAAAACTAAGATTGTAGTAAATAGTTTAGCTTGCTTATTCATAAACAAATTCAGCAGTAGATGTTAAAAATATATCTTCCAGCATTACATTGTTTACTCTGATACTAGTTTCTATCTGGCACTTAAATTTACATTAAAAGTAGAACAACTTTGAGACTGCTTTATAGGAATTAGGTAGATAACTCTGTATTGCTGCAGTATTTATGTAATTAAGGACAATAAGACTTCAGTTTACTGAAAGTAAATGTTGTCATGTGTATTTGTCACTAATAGATTTCTTTGGCCAATCAATATATTCATCATCATCATCATTCTTTCGTATTACTCTCTGCTGGGGAATAGGGCTCAAAAAAATTTTCCATTTACAGCGGTCTTGGGCAGTCTGTTCTAGGTCCTCCCACGTCATGCCCAAGACCCCTAGCTCCTACTCCACCAAGCGACGCCAAGCTGTTATATATTATGTAAATCAATTTACAACACTACAGGGTCTAATAACCACTATTGCAAAAAGAGACCCTTATATACATTCATGTTGGAAAGTTCATATTATTGAAAATAAGTTATTAAATAAATAGATTGTTATTGTTCTAACTATACATTACTCACAGTTGCACTTCTTTTGTACAAAGCGCAGTTTACAAGCTGTTCTGTATGATGCAAATCTGATTAGATCAAAGTTTTGTTCTCGCATTTCTTGTAGAAGTTGTGAGCGAGGATCTGCAGCTGCAACAACATTGGTGACTGGAGGTATACCTCCTATACTTTCACGATCCAAAGACATCTTGATAGGAGTTTTAATATTGCTAATACCTGAAATATAAACTCGTTCTTTATTACAATATGTTAGCGCAGGTAACCTACCATATATAAATAATAAAATGTGGTGTTAAAATTGTATGTTTCATTGGATTAAAATTAATAAGCTGTTTATTATCCCAAATGACAATATTATAAACTATTTTTCAATAGCGTCTTATTATTAATTCTTTGTATAAGATTTCCCGAAACTGTACCACTTACAAGTTAAATTATTTGCGCACTTATTCATTTGTATTTCGAAATTACAATTTTGTAATATATTAACGAATATTGAGAAATCTTACCTTTGCTTATCGGTTAGCTCATAATTTTGTTGACATAACGATAATATATTCACAACGAACCGCTGGTTTGTTTCATAGATCGATTCAAAGATAATATTAGTAACTTGGCTTTTTCTTGCAATATTCTTTGGGAGTAAATCACTTACTTATGTTAGTCGTAGTAAAATTTGTGTGTTCAGTATAAAGATATCATGCACTATTCTTAATCCTACTTAGAATAATTATTAATGCTTTACAATTTAATAATTCATAAGAGGTAATAAATTAAGGAATTATGTATCGAAATCAACGAAATGACAAGCTCCTGCCATCATAGTTACGTTTCATTTTACGTATTTCAAAAATCTAAGAAATATTTACCTTTCTTTTTTTTAAATTTCATCCCAGTTGACCGAGGTCTTTAATTATTCAGCTTCATCTCATTTAGCTCCATATCATTTTTCCTATTACAACAGAATGTAAGAATCAAATAAAAGACTTGGCTTAAAGGTCCCATTACCAGGCCATACAACCAAAAAAATATTTTAAATGAAACGAAACAACAAACGGTTTTTTGGCGGGAACACGAGCTATGAATTAATGTGAACTGTTTTAATATTTTGTTTAATTTAGTGACTAAGCGTGGAATATATTACTTTATTAATCGTTTAACGTTTAAAGTGTGGGCAAAAAGAAACAAAATAACTGGATGCGGCTTTTCGGGCTCATTCAAACAACCCACTGAAGACACTAAATTTCAACAATTACACTGGGACATTTATTCAGTTTCACCCCAATGGATTATCGTTTTTAATACACGAACTTCACTACATTTCAGTTTTCATATAACACAGTCCAAGTAATTTTATACTAATCGATGACTATCTAAACTCCATTGCTACCAGCAACGATGGCATCGAGCCGGTTGCCAAACTGTGATTAGAAGACTAAGATATCACACTCTGTGTGGCGCTGTCCATCTTGAAACGCCAAGACGGCCGGTGCATTCGTATCGAGCGATGCGACTCTGCGGGTATTCGATTTCGCAGGCAGGTACCAATTTTTTTAATGCAATACCCATAGGTAACAAATATTTTCACAAATAACTTCCAGGGTGAAAGAATAACATTATGTCAACAAAATCAAACCTGCAAAATTATGATTTTCGTAATTACTGGTTCTGGGGCATCTTGTGAGCTCGCACGCGCAGGGACCTCCGCCCTGCCTGTTTCTTCCGTGAAGCAGTAAGAGAGAGAGCTGGTGTGCTTAGTTAAAATTAACAATTTACTTTACTACTGGTATATACTCGCGACTTCACTCGGATTAGTGTAGAATGTAGAGGATGTAAATAGTTCAGCTAAGAATTTTTTTTAATAAGATCATTGGCGTAGTTAGATGTAAAAGCTTACAAAAACAAACTGAGTTTCATATTAAAATATGTCACAATAAATAAAAGTTGTTCTTTCTCTACAAATTGCATAAAAGTCTCTAATTGCCAATTTCTAATGAAGAAACAGTATAGCAAAAAGAGAAAACGTAATCCCAATGGTAAAAAACCGTTGACGATATTTTTCAATTAAAAACTTTACTTTCTTACTACATTCCACTGCGACCCAATCCACTATCTATACATATAAATAAAAGTGGAGTATCTGTGTGTAAAATTAAATAATCGCTTTTTAATAAATTCATATGTATGTATACACGGTACATACACTAAAAAAGCATTTATAAAAATGTCATCTGTCTGTCTGTTTGTTCCAGCTAATCTCTGGAACGGCTGGACCAATTTTGACGGGATTTTCACTGATAGGTAGCTGATAATAAAAGGAATAACTTAGGCTACTCTTTTAGATTAACTTCGCCCTGCAGCGTTAACCTCGGTACGAAAATAACCGCAGTAACACCGCAGGGCTCAGCTAGTTTAAAATAAAAACGAATGAATTTATCTAATACATTTATTAACTTATGACTGAACACAACAGATTTACATTAAACATAATTTTTCCAAATACAATAAATGAGTATTCAATTACATTATATACATTTTCAACATTCAAAGATTTCGTTTATTTTACAGATTTTTACTCGCCTGGAGCATTGCCACTATACACAAATGTGTAATTTGTTTTCAACTAATCATTTCCTACATTTTGCTACTATAACAATTACGTAAATATAGGTACATAATATATTTTATTTTAACATTGTTTTACAATTGATTACATAAATACAAGTGATTAATTTAAGGATTAATTTCTACTAAAGTGATCGTGGAAAAAAGCTTTGTGTGACGCAGGGCTTTGTAAGCATTTTATGATTTTCATACAGGATATTTCTTTCAGGATAAATTCAGGATAAATTATTTGTTTTGTTATGCCAAAATACGCACTTACTTACTTACAGATTGAACCAGTTTAGTAGCGTAGGCGTATCAATCAACATTTTGAGTATGCATAGCGATCTTTGTAAATTATCATTAAATTTATAAATGAATTGCCTACCTAAAAAGAAACTTCCAGAACCTAATTTAAACGGCATAATTTCTAACTAAGGCGGAAGTTTTTTGGCAAAGTATTTGTTTATTGTTTTTTTCTCGTTAATCCAAATCCAACTAAAATAGCGCAAGCGTAGAAAGCGGTTTGATATGAATATAGCAGCTGTAAACGTATTGAAGTCGGCCGAATAACTTGCTATTGTTTCGCCGCCTTAATTGGTCGCATTCTTACATACACTAATAGTCTGCTCCTTACCTCTGCTCTCGATAAACTAAAACTACAGATCTATAAATAATGTTACTATCGGAAATTTAACTCATTAAAATTGAATCAAAAAGTGTTTCTTTTCAAGCTTCATTCGTTGACGAGCGATCACTGGACTACACATAAAAACTAGATCATTCCCGCACCAAGAAACGGGGTTTCAAATTCTCGATTGAATTGGAATCACCGGATTAACCGCCGGTTATTCTGCACTTGAATTTGCGACGCGTTAGGCCGGACTGGTTTAGTGAAATAAGCATTATCAGTAACGTAGTGCAGCTATTTAATTAAGGCTACACTTTTTACTATACTTTAATCTTTATATCTGATTCTCTAATATAGTCTGTATATATAAAAATGAATTGCTGTTCGTTAGTCTCGCTAAAACTCGAGAACGGCTGGACCGATTTGGCTAATTTTGGTCTTGAATTATTTGTGGAAGTCCAGAGCTGGTTTAAAAGGTAGATAAATAAGAAAATGCTCGGAATTAAATAAAAATAACAATTTTGTTTTTCCTTTGATGTGTCCATGCGATGAAAAGCTTAGGTCTTTTATTATCGATTGAGGCACTACGAAGTCTGCCGCAGCTAGGTATTATATATTTCTTCTGTGCGTGTGTTTGTAGTTATCAGTGGAACTCCTAAACGGCTGGACCGATTTGAACGTTTTTTTTGTATGTGTACGGGTGGCACCCTGAATGGTTGAGATTCACAAATCAGCCCAGCAGATGGCGCTGCAGTCGGTTTATAGGTTATTTATCTATACTACAACTAAACGGCTGGATCGACTTCAAATAATTTTCAGTCTAGTAAGTAAGTAGTAGTAAGTCTGTCGGGTCCGCTAGTACGGCATAATTTTCTACTTAAGGTTCAGCTAATACGACATTAAGCAACTTGAAATAGTTAACATTATTATTACGCTAAAGTACCTACGGTATTTTGAACCGAAATTCTGTGTTAGATATATAATTTTTGTTTGATTTTATGTTCTTTTTCAGTTTAGAGATTTTAGCTTTCCGAATATTTTAGAAGTTGTACACACATAAGTACTATCACAAAAACCAAAAACAAAAACTGAAGGCATGCGTATACAATAGCATTAAAAACTAATTAATATTAACATTACCTACATCTTTCTAATTCACTATTATTTTGTGTACATTATTCAGGCATTGATTACAGGTTAAAGGATACAAAGTATACACCGATTAAGAAGAGATACTTTATACAAAGTTATTGTGTACGTCACAGATTTTAATTTTAATTACAATATTTTTATTAATGTATTTTCTAGATTTTTTTTTATATTGCTAGATGGGTGAACGAGCTCACAGCCCACCTGGTGTTAAGTGCTTACTGGAGCCCATAGACATCTACGACGTAAATGCGCCACCCACCTTGAGATATAAGTTCTAAGGTCTCAAGTTTAGTTACAACGGCTGCCCCACCCTTCAAACCGAAACGCATTACTGCTTCACGGCAGAAATAGGCAGGGCGGTGGTACCCACCCGCGCGGACTCACAATAGGTCCTACCACCAGTAGATCTTCTATCTAGATCTTCTATAATAATTATTAACAAATTCAAATAAAACACTAATAGAATGTAATTCATCTCCATATTCGTTACATTGAGTTCTTTTAAGCTCCCGTTAAAGAGAATATTTAAATATATATAGTATACATTTATTCGTCATACTTTCTGTCATAGCATGTTACCACCACCACCACCAATGATTTTATAATGCGTGGTGGATGTTGAAAAAAGCTTTTTATTAAGCCTATATAAAATTTTAATACAATCTTAAATTTCCGTTTTAAACAAGAATTTTAAATTCAAAAACCCTATCAAGCTTTTAACATACTCAGAAGAACTCTTATAATTACTACAATAAACAACTAACTACAAAAAACTACTTGACCTTGACTATGTACTTAATTAAATATTACAATAGTTATAAAAATATTAGGTCTCTACGTACTAAGCTATGTATGTAGTTTTACTTACTTTATCGTTGATTTCGACTGTCGTGAAGTAAGCTGATTTCCTACTTTTTTAAATCATCGGACTGTGATTTAGAACCTATTGTATGTTTATTATGTGGCGTTAATATGTTTCTTATAATAAATAGAAAATGAGTCGTTTCCGAAGAGGAAACAGTAACAATATATATGTATTAAACAAGTTATTTACTCAAACACTTTCATATTTCGGGAACCATTCTTTTCCCCGTCGTCAAAGACTGAGATAATGATAATGATCATGTCAACCTATTGCAATTTATACTTCATTGCGTGCAGTTCAAAAACCCTTAGCATCTAAAACCAATTACATTTTTTATGATTGACGGATTACTGGTGGCCCGGAGACCTTTCCAGTTTTACGAGGACCGGCGGACGACCAAGGGCTCAGGCAGGAGGGGTGGGATTTGCTAACAGCTACCCGAGCGCCCCAAAGGAGACCTATCAACTCAAGAGTAGGTTAGGTAGGCTGATGTATAGGTAAGGTTGCAAGTTGAACTCTTTGCTGAGTTCGACGAGTACGGTTACCGGGGTCCTTAGGCCTGCTCCTAGTGTTAGAGCTAAAGGCGTCTAATTCAAGGGTTATTGGATCTGATGGATCCGTAAGGACGTATCTAGGGCGACGACGGCTACTGTGTGATCAGGATTCGGGGAGTAGTCAGCGGCGGCAACGATAAGGCGATTATCATGACGAAACCAATTCTCTTGGGTTTCGAGTACAGATTTCCTATACCTAAGATACGTGTCCTTAAATAAAAAAAATGTTTTTTAAACACATTACTGCTCTAATAATTAAAAGTACCGATAAAGTTTAGATGTAGCTTAAATTATTTTATTTTGAAGCTATATGTTATCCTTCGGTTTTGAATGAAACTTTCTCAGCTCACAATATTAAAAGTTTTGAATTATTAGAAAGCCGTTTTTACTCGTAACGACTTTCATTTCATTGGTTTTATTATTCAATTAATGGTAAACTAATGTAGAGCATTTTTCACATGGACAATACAATCGTTGCTTTGCAAGCACACTCAGTCAGATAAGTGTTTATTTTAGCATCACAATATCTTATCATGGTTTGTAAATATTTAACTTATCATTATGTAACTACGTATGCCACGTTAAATATTAACAATCTAATTGGCGTTTCGGGAACGTGTTATGAGCTTCTTCGGACACATCATGCGGTCTCCCAGACATGAATTAGAGAAGCTCATAATTACGGGTCGAATAGAAGGCAAGCGTGCCGTGGGCAGAACACCAGCCAGATGGTCAGATCTGGCAAGAGAAGCACTCGGTGGTAGTCTGTACCATGCAGTCCATGCCACCCATGATCGAGCACAGTGGAAGTGCGTCGCATGTGGTCGCGATCCTCAGTAGTGAGGGTATATAGAAGAAGAAGAGTATTGGCGTTTATACTTAACCAAATGAACTGCAAAACTTTACATTCAAATTTTACTTGTAAATAGTGTAATGTGACGAAGATTGTTCTAGAAAAGATCTCTAGTTATTTCTTTAACCGACGAACTACACAAGGATTCATGGTCACTTGCTAAACATTTATACATATAACCAATGTCGCCACGTGAAGCGACTAACGGGAGCCCCACCTCGGATGGCTTCGTGTTCGGATTCAGGAGAAATGCAGCAAGCAAGACGCTGTAAATAAAAAAGATACATATTTGATAATTAAAAATACTCTTACGGTTTGATCTCGCTAAAATAAGGGCATTTCGACTACTTTATAGTTCGTGGTAATGAACGGCGAATGTTTATCCGTCGATATTTGAATATTGTACTAAGTACCATTTAAATTTAACCTATACTAATATAATATATAAATCTACCGTGGTTTTTACGGATGTTCCGTTATAACTACTGAACCATGCATCCGATTGACTTGAAACTTGGTATCCATGTAGAAAATACATGTAATTAATGGATAGGCTAATATTTATATGAGTGTTGGACTCCCTGATAATAATGACAATAAATAATAATGTTAATTTTAAATGCCCAGCGAAGCAGGCGAGTACGGGTAGTTTTCTATAAAACAATCTTGAGGTCTGGTAGTTTTCGGGTTTTTATATTCATCATATTATGATCCCGGGTGTTATATAAGCGCTAACCGTATTCTCTATTAAAGTTAGGGTATCTCTTTTTGTTAATGTCCTGGCAACGTGGAACTAACTTGTTTTCTCTATCGAGTATTTGGATTTTATCAAATCTTAAAAAATGGTTGGCACCACTGTCTAGTGCATGTTGAAAAATGCAGAAATGTGTTATCAATGTGACCACGAGGATTTCGAGAATAACCAAATAAGTATTCAAGTTTGCAGTGTGTTAATCGTAACTTAAATTTACTATCAAACTATCAATATCTGCATGACAAGTACTAATAATGTTACCTGTCTAAATGTTCCGGGAGTTGTGGCCAGTTTGTATATAGCTACGATAGGTATCATTAATATGGAGGAGCAGGCAAGACCCCAGCCCAACACCACGGCCCACTGCGGATACGTGTATTGCTGATACTGGAGAGGCTGCTGGTACAATAAGCCGAAAACTACTACTCCCTGTAAAAATGTAACATTATAATTACGATGTATATAGGCTAATAAAATTAATGTAGTGTTTTTCTGTAATCTATGCTTTCGAGATTTTATGCCATTGACTTGAAACTTCATACAAGTTGGAGGGTAGGTGTAAAAAAAACTCTTAAATGTGGACAAATTTAAAAAATATTCAACTGTAAGCAACAAATTACAACTCAAAAATCCACTAAAACTGCGCTAGCGTTAAGTAAACTGAATTGAAAAATAACCTGACCGCTATCTTTGATTGACAGATCTCTAATTGGTCACTATATAGAGATTGTGCTAATCAGTCCGTGATCGTGCCGCGTTTATTCTCGGTAGACTCTACCCCATGATCTGTAAGCGGAGTAAAATGTCCCTTCGGAACAAGGTGACACTTTACAAAACTTGCATAAGGCCCGTCATGACTTACGCGAGTGTGGTGTTCGCTCACGCGGCCCGCACACACATAGACACCCTCCAATCTCTACAATCCCGCTTTTGCAGGTTAGCCGTCGGAGCTCCGNCTACAATCCCGCTTTTGCAGGTTAGCCGTCGGAGCTCCGTGGTTCGTGAGGAACGTTGACCTACACGATGACCTGGGCCTCGAATCTATCCAGAAATACATGAAGTCAGCGTCGGAACGGTACTTCGATAAGGCTATGCGTCATGATAATCGCCTTATCGTTGCCGCCGCTGACTACTCCCCGAATCCTGATCACGCAGGAGCCAGTCACCGTCGACGCCCTAGACACGTCCTTACGGATCCATCAGATCCAATAACTTTGGCATTAGACGCCTTCAGCTGTAACACTAGGCAAGCTTAGCAGGCTTAGGGACCTCGGTAACCGTACTCGTCGAACTCGACAAAGAGTTCGCCGTGCAACCTAACCCATGAATCAGTTCGCTGAGTTTCTCGCCGGATCTTCTCAGCGGGTCGCGATTCCGATCCGGTAGTAGATGCATTCGCGAAGCAGCCACTCTTGAGTTGTTAGGTCTCCTTCGGAGGCGTTCGGGTAGCTGTTAGCAAATCCCACCCCTCCTGGCTGAGCCTTTGCTCGCCCGCCTGTCCTGGTGAAACTGGAAAAGCCTCCGGGCCACCAGTAATACTTCAATCATAAAGGAGATTCTGCTCCTTACACCTCTACCGACTTATTTAAAAAATAATTGTTGGCTCTTCAGATAATTTTAAATATGGTGCCTATTATAATTAGTGGCCGATCGGTAGCACTTAATGTCAACAAACTGTGTCTGTCCTAAACTTAGTAATACTATAAATTGTGCTCACTACAACGCAACATATGCAAATCGTTAGATGTTTATCGCCCAAGAGGACAGAATACCATACGGTACAACCGATAATAACTAGGTATTCACTTTTGTTCATGACAATCAACTATTTTCAACGATCATTGATATGTTCTAGTACGTCGGGAGCTTTGTGAGCTCGTATGTGACCGGTGGTGAGTCTATATTATTCATCTATTTTTAAATTAAAAAAGTTTAAATTTAAAGAAATAAATTTATTTATTAAATTATTTTGTTTATTTACTAAAAGAAGAACCAACAGCCAACTAACATAGTATAATAATATACCAAATAATAGAAACAAAAAGCCAATTAAAGGTACCACCAATATTAACAAATCAAAATACTAGAGAAACAAAAATAGCTACAAAGAAATTAAAAAACAAACATCCAGCAAGAAAAAACTTAAGCAAAGGAGAAACACACCCGACTAATTAAATGTACACTTATACATAAATATTACAAATTAATAAAAATGTAATTTATATTCTTACGATAATGAATATTGGGCTGACGAATTTCCAGCATATCCTCCAGTAAATACCGGGCCTGAAGCCGAGCATTTCTTCAACATCGTCAGAGAACCTTTTCAGACCTAAAACCAATTTAAGAAGTAGACTGAACCTCTATTGTGCTCATGCTTCATTAATTTATTTATTTCATTTAATTTCTTTATATAATTCTAATACCAGTTAGCATGTATGATTACCTCACTATCGATCATTTTATTTTAAAAGGAAAAAAACGTTTATGTTAAAATTGTACATGGATTACCATAAAACCACGAGACAGCAACGGCTTCGAACAACGCCGAGCACAACAGTGATATGCCGGCAGCGTAGGTGTCCAAAAGATGAAACATGTAGATCCCACCCTGGAATTTAAATATATTATGTGATTCAATTGTTGTAAAAGTGGAAAGAAATTTTGCAACATAATTAAAATATATACAAAGTATTTTTTGGCAACCAAACTGGTGTAATATTGGATATTGAGTATTAGTCGAACTAAGTTCCCTTCGAACTAATAGTGCGGTCATTCATTGATCCTTAAGCTGACTTAATAATACGTACTTAGCACGTTAACTGCCGTGTAGGTCAGCGCTGCGCTACGTGGGGCACTAAAGTAATTATGTCGATGATAATTATGTATTATGTCGTCTTCGTTCTTCTTACTAAGGCGCCGGAATATCTGGTAGACTCTAGGAAAGCCGAATTCGAAGATACTAAGATACATACATTAAAAACAAAAAAAGACAAAGTTAGGCAATTCCGGTGCTCACTAACAGAAATCGACATAAATTCTTCAGTGCACCACGTAGGGCACCAGTGACCTACATGGCAGTTAAAGGGTTAACGAAGATATTTATTTCGTGTTTGTGTTACAATATAAGTACACTTATCCTATTCTGTTGCATTAATGAGTTTCTGATATGTCGACTCTCGAGACTTTTGGCGTCAGCGTATGAATTTACCGGTGTTACATTGATGCAAGCGATACAGAAGGACACACAGACGACCAGCAGCGTGAAGTGCTCCCGGCGGAGCCAGTGCGCACCGCTCGCACGCGCCTGGTCCAAAAGACCGGTGATCACGCACTCGAGGCCCCCCATCTGTTACAAGTTCAACATTTCAATATTAGGTTAGCCGTAAGCTCATACGCAAGAGCGGACGGTTAGCGTGGTATGGACATATGATGCGTAGAGAGAAGATGCATGTGACTAGGAGATGTATGGAAATGGTTGTGCAAGGTAGAGGGGGAAGAGGTCGACTGAAGAAGTCATGGATGGAGTGTGTGAATGACGAAATGAGAGAGAGAGAGGAATGAGTGTTGAGATGACGGCTGATAGAAGAGAATGGAATAGAAAAATCAACTGTGCCGACCCCACCTAGTGGGATAAGGTGAAGAAAAAGAAAAGTAAGCTCATACGCAAATCTAATAAAAATAACCAATAAACATAACAATAGTAATGCTGGTACACACCATAGAACAATATATTGAAACATCAGTTGTATTATTAATCGGCTGTCCCATCATTTTAATCGGTATACAAGTGGACACTGTGCTAAGTACGTATTTTGTACTATTTGACGAAGGCCACAAAATAATATGTAGAAAAAAAGCCACAGTAAGCTGATTAAATAAATTCAATGGTTTTAACAATTAAATTAAACCACACGACTATACATAATTTGACTTTGTTAACTTTTACGACAGTTACCGAAATATCACTTTTGTCTGTACTTCTATATCTAAACTAGAATAGTAGAATATGAAAATATTTGAATGCTTCACCCCCGAGTCCAGTCCAAGCATGATCAGCATAAAAAAGAACAACATCGCCCATAAGCTCGCCCCTGGTAGAGTAGCAACAGCCTCGGGGTATACTTGGAATACCAATCCTGGTCCTAAAATGCGCAAATAAATAACGAATTATATCGTGATCATCATCAAAGCATTACTAAGGCTACATTACATCTTTTATTGCGAAACAAACTTTAAATCTCGCGTTTAATATTGTCAATATTTTTATCTGCTATCTATTTCGTATACTTTGCAAGTTTCATGGTCACGAATAGCTTTGGGATTATAGTACGTCGATACTGTGCGAACTACCGTCTATTTTTCCATTATTTTTTTTATTTTTTTTATTCCTTAGATGTCTGGACGAGCTTACAGCCCACCTGCTGTTAAGTGGTTACTGGAGCCCATAGACATCTACAACGTAAAATGCGCCACACACCTTGAGATATAGTTTTAGGTCTCAGTATAGTCACAACGGCTGCCCCACCCTTCAAACCGAAACACATTACTGCTTCACGGCAGAAATAGGCGGGGCGGTGGTACCTACCCGTGCGGACCCCCAAGATGTATGTAGGCGTTTCATATCAGTAATATCTATGACTCGTGAAAACCGAAAAAAAATATTAATAACTAGCTGACCCGGCAGACTTCGTAGTGCCTCAATCGATAAATAAAAGACCGACGGGGAACACATCAAAGGGAAAACAAAATTGTTATTTTTATTTAATTCCGAGCACTTCCATATTTATCTAAACCTTTTAAACTTTCTCTGGACTTCCACAAATAATTCAAGACCAAAATTAGCCAAATCGGTCCAGCCGTTCTCGAGTTTTAGCGAGACTAACGAACAGCAATTCATCTTTATATATATAGATAGATTAAATTAATTCCTACGTTACAAATCTTTCGCCAACCTTCAGTAGCCACGGAGGAGATGGGTACACCCTGTTTGTACGACATGAACCCGAGGTATGTGAAGATCACGAACCCGGAGAAGAATGACGTGAAACAATTCACTAGAGTTGTAACCAAGCAATCTCTGAAAATAATAGAAAACACGTAAAGAAGAATAAAATAATGTGGACATTTAAAAGTAATATTATAATTAAAATATAAATTTAAAGGAAGTAGGGAATTTAATGATACACACTTTTAAAAATGTTTGTATTATTTATTTATTTATTCAATAATAATATGAACCAACCCTGGCTGATTATTATGACTTATTATGTTGTAACTTGTAATGTAAAATACATAATGTATTATTGTGTGTTAATACGTGTGTAACTTAACCCTTAAACTATACTGATTTTACGAATCTAAATGTTTCAATGCATGATGACGATGCAATATATGCTGTAATACAACGGTATGCTCGTTGGTCTGATTTTACGAAGAAATCGACTGCTAGTTTACGAAGCAGAGCAACAGACTGTCGGTGGGGTTTGCAGGGCCCACGTGGTTATTACCAAGTTACGTTGTATTTCAATTCCATCTGATGCGTTTTTGCTATTACTATTACTTACGCCGGTAAGAGTAACGCCATCTATCGCTGAACAGCAGAAACGAATATCAAAGGAACTCTTAACGTCGAGAAATCTCGAGAAGTACACCGCCATCTATTGTCAAATAGCGGAAACACACATCGAAGCTATTCGACTTGCCCAGAATGTTCTCGATAAATCTAGGGATGTCGTCTCGACTATAAAAGCGTTGCAGGGATGGTTCGAGTCAGTAATCGGAACTTCTCGAAGCGAACGGAGCATTTGGAGCGAAGCGGAAGAAGTGAATTAAGAATTTTTAAGTGTTCATTAAGTGTTCTAAGTGTTAATACAGTTCTACTTTGCGCTTCGGTAGAATTTTTATTTATCCCGAACCCCAGCACGTAAGTAACACTTTGTAGCATCAATGATGACAGCTTTAACAAATTACCTGTAGCAGTTGTTGTGAAAAGTATTGTAACTTGCATATGAAAGATGAACGCCGAAACCAGCACCAACGGAATAAAATATCTGTACCGCTGCGTCCACCCAAACCTGTTATAGAACGCATTACAAATTAAAATATTTGTATGTAACAAACATAAATTCCGTCATCTCGTTTTTACCAGCGCACCGCCCGCCACCGGAGTAGAGTTCATCCATACTACCTGGAGCCACTGCGGTCATCCACAGTGCGTTTCCAGAGATCTTTTTTGCCACGTACCATCCGGCTATGGAATGAGCTTCCCTCCACGGTGTTTTCCGAGCGTTATGACATGTCCTTCTTCAAACGAGGTTTGTAGAGAGTATTAAGCGGTAGACAGCGGCTTGGCTCTGCCCCTGGCATTGCTGAAGTCCATGGGTGACGGTAACCACTCACCATCAGGTGGGCCGAGTGCTCGTCTGCCTACAAGGACAATAAAAAAAAATTGCATTCTCGTTGACATGATGGTGATATGTACCCGTTGAGGCTTGTGATACGTCTTCCCACCATTAAGTGTCGGTTGGTGGTAGCGGTGCGCTGGTATGATATTCAGAGAATACTGAAATCCATTCTCAGGTCCATTCTGTTAGTCACATTTGCGACACCTACGGGAAGAGGTAGCGTGGGGCTAATTTAGGCCATTGTAACAACTTCTCACTAATTGAAAAATTTGATGTATAGGTATTGTACCAAAGTTATCGCTTTCTTGGCCACGCTGTTATAAAGAAACCACAGAAGCGAAATCAATATTTTTGTTGAAAATTGGTATTCGGGCTATGATTATTCTGGCTCTTATCTCGTGTTCCTGAACATTATAAAAAGCTCCTAGCTTGGGGCTGTTGAAAATTTATTTTTATTTTATTTATTTAGTACGCTTCGTATACTTTTATCTACATTGGCGGACTTAATGCTTAAGGCACCCTCTAGCAGTCCACCAAAAGTAAAGTAAATATTTGTACATAATATGCATCACTACATAGTATAAAACAAAGTCGTTTTCTCTGTCCCTATATCTGTCCCTATGTATGCTTAAATCTTTAAAACTACGCAACGGATTTTAATGCGGTTTTTTTTGATAGATAGAGTGATTCAAGAGGAAGGTTTATATGTATCATAACATCCATCAAATAGTGGAGAAATCAATAATAAATTACAGTTTCCGAAGCGAAGCGAGGGCGGGTCACTAGTTCAAATATAAATTAAACACAAATTAAATACAAATTCTAATAAATACAACATATACATTAAGCCCATACTTTACAATTTTGTTCACGTATCAAGGGCCGCTATCGACTTATTATACCTACTATTTACTTCAGCTTAAAATATCCAGAGCCAGATTACTTTTTTTTGCAATTACATATATGAATGCTTCTGTAATGATCACCAAACTCGCCTGCGTATCCTTGAGCCTAGTAAGTTCCGGCTGCAAATAGTAGGCGATGCCCCGTGTTGCTCCCGGCAGAAGTAATCCACGGGCCAGGAGGATCGACAGGACAACGTACGGCATTGTTGCTGTCATCCATACCACTTTTCCTAAAATATTACGCTCAACTTTAAGCTCAACGACATCTGAATAATTGAGTTTTATTGATGAAACTAGCGACCCGCCCTCGCTTCGCTTCGGAAATTGTAATTTATTATTTATTTCTCCACTAATTAATGGATGTTATTATGCATATAAACCTTCCTCTTCAATCACTCTGTCTATTAAAAAAACCGCATCAAAATCCGTTGCGCAGTTTTAAAGATTTAAGCATACATAGGGACAGACAGGTATAGGGACAGAGAAAGCGACTTTGTTTTATACTATGTAGTGATAGTCACTGGAGCCCATAAAAATCAACTAGATACGTTAATGCCGCCGCCCAGCTTGAAACACGAGCTCTAAATCTCAGTTTCTGCAGTACAACGACTGCCTTCCATTCAAAGCGAAACGTATTACTGCTTCACGGCAGAAAAAGGCAGGGTGGTGGTACCTACCCATACGGGCTCACAAGACGCCCTTCCACCAGTAGAGAATAATTGATGGGTCATGACGTGTGTTCACATACGGTTGACAGCCTTTGAGTAATGTTACATGTGTAAAGTGTCACAGACAAATCAAGCTCATAAGCTCAAGAATAAGCTCTTAAAAGAAAATAATTTTAAATCACCTTAACCGGAAATCATTAAACTATACAGTTGAGTCTTTAAAATCATATCGCAAGATAGCAAGATGAAGTGGACACTCAGGCTGATGTCTATGGACACTAATAACCACTGCACACGAGATGGGACATGAGCTTGTTTACTAGTCTAAATAGGTATAAAAAAATAACAAAGAATAAAAATTCCAAACTAGAATTTCTCTTATGCCATAGCTGTGAATCATACATATGAGTCAAGCACAGTGGCACTAAACGCCAAATGTCCTTAGCAAATATTTTAGTTCGTTCTGGGAATTCATTTACATAAAGACTACTCACCGGAGCTCTTAACGCCTTTGAATAATGAAAGGTATAAAGTTACATAGACCAAACCGAGACAAGCAGCCAATTGCCATTTCGGCAAACCTAGATCATTCAAACCTTCCGAATGCTGCATTTCCAAGACTGCTCGACTAGAAAAAACATGTTTAGATAAAATCTATGATTAACAAACAATAAAAAATTTCCTTTACAATAATATAAATGAAATCAGTGTTCATATCTAAATCAAAGTCATGAAAATTACCTACAAACAAAATTTAAAAATAGTACCTTTATGGACCTTACAAATACCACGTATTATGAACGCATTTCACGATTGAGAATAACTGGCATAAAGATTAAGGTTTTGTTCACAAAGTCAGTAGATGTAAATAACGTGATATGATGATTGAATTAAAGATCTTTAGTAGTTTTTTCTTTTCTTTTTTCTACCTATGCTGTTAGCTTTGAGAGGCTATTTCAGCTTCTCCTTGACGTGTAGGTGAACTCACGGGGCTCTAACCGGGAGTGTTGCTAGAACTGGCCCTAGCAAGAGCCGTGCTTCGCAGAATCTACCACCGCATCGGAAATGCGACTCACTGAGAAGATCCGGCGAGAAACTCAGTGGGCTTAATTTAGTCGTCGAGCCCTTCGTCGCAAGCGACGGGTTCGACGTGAACGATAGCCGGTGCTTGTGTTACCTAAAAGCACCATTAATGGATCGGACCATTCGGTTTACAGAATCGGATATGGGTATTTTTTCCAGACTTACTGAAAGAATTCTGAAGCAGGCGTGAAATGCGACAGTGGTCCTTGGTATTTAACATCCGTGCGATTGGTACCATTCAACCGAGCCGAGTCCCAACATTGTTCCGTATTCCAAGAATTATCGCAATGCACCCAGGGCAGTTCTGATCGAGCTGACGACATCAAGAAATAGAAAGCCCAGCCTGAAACACGGGAGAAAATGTTTTTATTCGAATAGCAACCCAAACAAAACATGAAAGTCGATTTTAACTACTGTATTTAAAATATAAAGTCCGTCGAATTATGATGCCTTACTATACGAGTATGTGACAGAAATTCGCTTGTCTTTTGAAAGTTTTTGCTTGCCGAAACTTACATATGTGGGCTAAGCTTTAGCCTTTAAAAATTAAAGACATAAACTCCAAAATAAAACTCACTATAAATGAGTCGATATTTAGAATAAGTTTCAGCAAAAATAAAGAAAAGGATAAGGTTTTTCTTACCAATTATTACATTATAATAGAAGGAAACATAGAACGCGACCATGACTGCGCAGAATCCAACACCTGAAATAGTTATGTTTTGATTAGTAAATAATAATATACAAAATTATAAAAACAACAAAACCGACTTCTACGAATCTCAGAATTTGGTTAAATTAAACTACTACATCTGTATCTATATTAATATTATAAAGCGGAAGAGTTTGTTTGTTTGAACGCGCTAATCTTAGGAACTACTGGTCCGATTTGAAAAATTATTTCAGTGTTAGATAGCCCATTTGTTGAGAAAGGCTATAGGCTATATAACATCACTCTAAGTCCAATACAAGTGGAGCACCAATAAAGAATGTTTCAAAATAGGGGTTTAAATAGCTCCATAACATTCTATAATTCAAAAATATTTTCACTTTCTACGTAAATGAAGTGGAGGTAAAATTTAGCGTTATGCCAAAGTAACTATTCCACGCGGACGAAGTCGCGGGATAAAGCTAGTCATAAATATATCAGCGCCGTTGCTTTATTTTTCTCATACCTTTAAACAATGGACATATTTTCCATAGAGTGATAGGTCCTTGTCGGTTATACTGCCCGAGGATTAACTCCATGTAGAAGAGAGGAACTGCTCCGAAAACCAGCATCAGAGTGTAGGGTATCAAGAAGGCACCTGAAGCAATTGCAAATATTTACAGTCGGCAAAAGTAAAAAAAAAATACAAAGTTGTCGTGTGATCGGCTCTGGAAACCGCCTGATATCAGCTTTAAGCTCGATCCACCATAACAAAACATAAGAAACACATAATTATATCGAAGAAATAAATATTCAACAATCTGATGCCAATTAAAGGATTATTTCGCGCAGAATATTCCATACATATATACCGGTGGTACATATATACTTTTACTGGTGGTAGGATCTCTTGTGAGTCCTCACGAGTAGGTATTACCACCCTGCCTATTTCTGCCGTGAAGCAGTAATGCGTTTCGGTTTGAAGGGTGGGGCAGCCGTTGTAATTATACTGAGATCTTAGAACATATATCTTAAGGTGGGTGGTGCATTTACGTTGTAGATGTCTATGGGCTCCAGTAACCACTTAACACCGGGTCCGCTGTGAGCTCGTCTGCACATCTAAACAATAAAAGAAAATTATATATTTTACCACCGCCATTCCTATAGCAAAGATACGGAAATCTCCAGACGTTGGCCAGATCAACCGCGAAACCAATGATGGACAGAAGGAAGTCTGCCCCGGTGCCCCATGTCTCTCGGCCATCTGATGTTTCTGCAACAACAGTTCCAATGCAGATTTTCTAGTCCACATCAATTCTTTCCTTAGATAAATAATAATTAAAGGACATTTGAAGTAGTACTACAGTTAATAAATATACTCGCATGTACAACACGTGGACACCAAAATCTAAATTGCGAGAAATGACGAATAATGGTTAAAGTATTTAAAAATAATATATAATAATTATTTTCAATTTCTCTAATATTATAAAAAAAAATATTAAGCAAAAAGGGTGTAAACAAATTAAAGATATTCAGTTCAAAGCAGATCTTATGAACCGGTATTTAAAGTTATCTAGAAGGTTTAGGCTGAATTCCAGTCAAAACTCATCATACTCGAGGTTTAATGTATAATCCAACAAACTGGGCGATGCACTAGTTAGCGCACTTAACAGCTGGTCGTGGGTTAGATTCTCGGATCGGACCAACATTCGCATGATAAACAAGTTTGTCTGCTCATATGACGGCCCTTCACATGCGCGCAAACATTCGTACAATGGACGAATATTTGCGCACATGTGAGTGGCCGTCAAACATTCATTCGCAAACTTAGCGGCTGTGCAAATGGGTTCGGTACTCATTTTGCGAACCCGTTTGCGCTTCCTCCTACACTTGTTTACGAATGTCTCACGAATTTCTCCTCCTTTTTAATTTGTCAATAGAACATTGAAGAGAAAAAGAGTTTTGAATTCTTTCCCAGACATCATTAACAGCCATGCTGTTTTTATGGGATTTCTTAGCGAAAACTTTGCATAATCATTTGCAAATGTCGTCCTACACTTGCGGGTTTGCGTATTCGTGCGAATGTGAGTGACCGGTATTAGTCTGGGTTTTTACTATGTATATATTTAAACGTATATACATAAGTATGTATATCAACCTCTGGTACCCATAGGGAATCCTAAGTTAGGCCTAGATGAACTTATGCCACTTGTACCCAATTAATATTTATCTTATTTACTTTATTAACATTGTAAAATTACTGACCAGGCTTACTGTTCGCTCTAAGTCGTTTGCTGCCTTCTGTATAAAAATACTCTTCCTCTATTTGTACTTTAGGCTCTTCTGAAAAAAAAACAACGAAGTTCCGGTTTACTTTACAGATAGATACTTTACAGGTAGATAACACCGCTTTGCTTATTTCTGCCGAGAAGCAGTAATGCGTTTCGGTTTGAAAGGTGGGGCAGCCGTTGTAACTATACTTGAGACCTTAGAACTTATATCTCAAGGTGGGTGGGTATCATTTACGTTGTAGATGTCTATGTGGCTTAACTAACCACTTAACACCAGGTGGGCTGTGAGATCGTCCATCCATCAAAGCAATAAAAAAAAATTCACCAAAAACATATTTTTTTATTAACTCTCCTCTATGATTTAATTGACTTACTTTTGTAGCACGATAGGGTTACGACAGATCCTTTCGTTGGCTTGTGGTCTGAAACAAATAAAAAACAATAACAGTCATCCTAAAAATACAAGGTTATTGAAAATAATATTATAGTCTAATATATGAATGAGCTCCCGGACATAAGTATAAGTTTTAAGTCTTTTTTTTATTACCTTTGTAGGAAGACTAGCACACGACCTACCTGGTATGAGCTACGAGCATACCTTAAGGTATGTCTAATATATGAATGAACTCCCGGACGTAAATATAAGGTATAAGTCTTTATAATTTTTTTATTGTCTTTGTAGGAAGACTAGCACACGACCAACCTGGTATGAGCTACGAGCATACCTTAAGGTATGTCTAATATATGAATGAACTCCCGGACGTAAATATAAGGTATAAGTCTTTATAATTTTTTTATAGCCTTTGTAGGTAGACTGGCACACGACCAACCTGGAATGGGCTACGAGTACCTTAAGGTAATTGGTTACCGTCGCTTACTGACGTCACCAATGCCAGGTGCAGAGTCAAGCCGCGACTGCTAATTATATAGTATAAAGGCGGTCCACTCTTCAAACCGGAATGCATTATTCTTGGTAAAAATATTTAGAGGCGTTAAACCTATCTACATGGGATTACAAGACGGCCAAAAGCCATATATTTCGCAAATAAAATTTTTACTTCATATTAGTCCTTCATTGTGGAATCCATTTGTGAACATATTTATTGTATTTATTTACTACTCATTCTCTTACTATTTAATCTATCCACCTTTGAAAAACACATGAGATTCCGTTTAAACTTTTTTAGTTATTCATTTTTATCCAATGTATAATGGAACCAGATTCTACAGCTTTTTTAATACATGCATTGATTGAAAATTAAAATTAATTGATCTAATTGAAATCACTAATATTCAAAATGATATAAAATGACCTTAATAAAAATTATCATTAGATGCATAATCGTTTCTTTAAGCTAAACGAAAATAAATGACACAAAACCACTTTCAGAGTCTCGTCTGTTTTGCGAGCATTCGCCTCGAGAGCCGCAAAGAATTGAACGCTTAGACGTAATAAATTCAAGATCGTGTCCGCAAAACGATTATCCACCTGGTCTCCGAGTCGCATCCTCATTCCGCTCCGCAATAATGTCTTAAGCATTCGAGCTACGGCCCTCATAATAGGGATGTGGACGCGGAAAAATTCCGCTGTAATTCCGCATCGAGGTGCCAACTCGATTGGAATTCAAAAAGCACCCGCCGCACAGGAATGCCTCGGAATCGGTATTCCAATAATTGAAGGCTTTATAATGCCGATAGAGTGGTGTCCTTGTCGATCGCGTTTTTAAATCATACCTACTATTACGAATGACTTAATGATATCGTGACGCTAAATTAAACTCGTTATTATTTATACGTGCAGAATATATATTCTTATGATTTTCGTTCATCATAAAACAATGCATCGAACATATTATTATGTTTGCAAGTTGTTTAAGCTGTTTTAGTGTCATGAAATTTAAAATTATTTTCAGTTACAAACCAAAATTGACCGTGTAATACCGAATTATTAAACTGTTATTATTAACTTTCGTCTCTGTATGTAACTTTTTTACCAAAAAAGTAGTTATGCATTCCGGTCTTCAAGAAACAGTTGTAAGACAATACAAAGTAGTTGATGACAATGACATTTGAGTTTCTATGTGCTGCGCTACCCCTTTACATGTGATTGGCTGCGAAATTATCGATTTGACCGAAATCAGCATTTTAATGAAAAAAAATCGCCAATACATTATTTACCATAGGTATATGTAGTGAGAAATTATTTTCCTTCGGGAAAACTCGGATCTTTATCTAATCTTTATTCGTATTAAATAAGTGACAATCTCATATCAATTAATATGGAGCTTTATTGTTTAGTGTCAAATGTCAAAATGAATAATGTCATTGTACTGAAGCTATTTGAGACATCACGATAAATACGAACTTTTCCGAAAACTTACGAAGGAAAATCTTTTTTCACTATATCTATATATGTCTACTAAGACAAACGACAAAAGCACTAATATCATTAATAGAAAAATATAAAAAAAACCGTACGTTCTTCTTTAGTTTAAAATAAAAGAGTACGGACATTAAAAAAGCTGTCAGTTTCTTTTTGTAGGCTCATCAAAAGGTAATCAATAGGTAGCCGGGATCGTGTAGCCCTGGGGATATTTTCCAATCGACCGAATAATTAGGTACATTTGGAACATTACATCGGAAAAGTAGCTGTGTCCCCAATATTTTCTGTTTTAAGTACACTAAAAAAATGAATCTAAGGTCATTCGAAATTGGGCTCGATAGTACCTCAGGATATTTTTTTAAAACAATTAAATATTCCGAAAATACTGAACATGGAAGCATAGAAATTAAGTGTAATTAAAATCATCTCCATAAAACTACCTGTAGTCCAATGAAGAGCTTACTTAAATTAAGTAAGTAATTACATTTAAAAAGTGATATTGACAGCCCTAACCCAATATGTAGTTATTCTATTATTGTCTGTTGTGGTGGAACCCACTTTTTTTCATTTTAAATAATACGTAAACAAAACATCATATGTTATCATATGTATGTCGTACTGATATTTTGATACGCACGTATTTATATATACGAGTAAATAAAGAACAGGTATATATTATAATACGAGTAATACGTTTTTCGGCATTCTAAAAGCTGAATAAACAGAAATGGTCACTTCACAATAAGCCCGTTTAATAGATTTTTTTTATTCAAAACAAGCTTCCGCAATGTTGAACAAATACGGCTTCGTTTCTTACTTTTTTAACAAAAGTCATGTTGCAATCGTCTAAACAGAAAATATATTAAAAAACTGATAGAAGTGTACGGGCTCTTCAATCCTTTGCCTTATTGCCTGTTTCCTGTATTTGCGCTCTCATGTCCGGCCGACTGGAAAACTTTGTTTATTGTTCGTTTATTACGACCTTAAGTGGTTTTCTTTATTGTAAAATTAAATCTTATGACATCCGGATGCGACAAAGCAGTCGGCGGTGAGTGCACGCGAATTCTTAGATTCAATTTATACGGCTTGTTGTTTTATGTTTTGAAAGTTTTGCTTTTAGTTTGTTTATTTTTATTCTCTACTAGCGGACCCGGCGAACTTTGTTCCGCCACACGGTTTGTTTCAAACACATCAACCGGTCAACTTCAAAATTCATTAACTATAATAATATTAAGCTGTAGTTTTTCTGTCTGTTATCGAACTAACCCCTGTATATATATTGTGTGCGTCTTATTTGTTTTAGGTAAATCAACAGAGATCCTGTCATCAAACATTCTTAGCTACTCACTTAATTCTTAGTGAATATCTGTGACCTTGCTCGTTCACGAAGCCCGCTATAGAAAGCAGAGTATTAAATACACTTGACATTGGCGAAATCTAAAAGNGTCTCGGTACGGCAGCCCGTCGGGCCGCCCAGACGGTGCCGCTGGTGTCCCGGAATACCCCGCTGGACCAGAACCAGCCTGCCGGGTCGGGACGCGATACACCGTCGACCGGTCGCTCTATTCACTCCACGGCAGCGCGCTAGAGTGCTGGTAGCGCGCCGCGCGGCCTCACCCCCTCAGGTCGCCCCTTGACCTTCACCGGGGGAACACAGCCCTAACCCTATACCCACTTTTTTTTCGTTTTAAACAATACGTAAACAAAACATCATATCGTGATATGTACTGATATTTTGATACGCACGTATTTATACATACGAGTAAATAAAGAACAGGTATACATTATAATACGAGTAATACGTTTTTCTGCATTTTAAAAGCTGAATAAACAGAACTGGTCACTTCACAATAAGCCCGTTTAATATTTTTTTTTTATTCTAAACAAATTTCCGCAATGCTGAATAAATACGGCTTCGTTTCTTACTTTTCACGAAAGTCATGTTGCAATCGTCTAAACAGAAAATATATTAAAAAAAAAAAAAAAAAAAAAAAAAAAAAAAAAAAAAAAAAAAAAAAAAAAAAAAAAAAAAAAAAAAAAAAAAAAAAAAAAAAAAAAAAAAAAAAAAAAAAAAAAAAAAAAAAAAAAAAAAAAAAAAAAAAAAAAAAAAAAAAAAAACTGATAGAAGTGTACGGGCTCTTCAATCCTTTGCCTTATTGCCTGTTTCCTGTATTTGCGCTCTCATGTCCGGCCGACTGGAAAACTTTGTTTATTGTTCGTTTATTACGACCTTAAGTGGTTTTCTTTATTGTAAAATTAAATCTTACGACATCCGGATACGACAGAACAGTCGGCGGTGAGTGCACGCGAATTCTTAGATTCAATTTATACGGCTTGTTGTTTTATGTTTTGAATGTTTTGCTTTTAGTTTGTTTATTTTTATTCTCTACTAGCGGACCCGGCGAACTTTGTTCCGCCACACGGTTTGTTTCAAACACATCAACCGGTCAACTTCAAAATTCTACTATAATTAACACAATTAACCATAGAATATATTAATTACGTTTAGCTGTCAGTTGCGTTTTGTTATAGTTACCACGTTTTATGTCAAGTCCCACGGGAATGTGATAAAAAGTATTCTATGTCCTTCTCTTGGTCCTAAGCTACCTCCTCACCAATTTTCAGCCAAATCAGTTCATTCGTTCTTGAGTTATAAATAGTGTAACTAACACGACTTTCTTTTATATATATAGACTAGTGAAAATAGGACACATTCTCACACTATCTCCGAGATAGTAGAACTTACGAATTTTGTTAGTAGGATTTTTATTAAAGTTTTCTTTCGTACAAAACTTTTTTCTGACAATTACGAAAACAACAAAAAGTAAATTAGTTAATTCCATGAATATCGATAACTTAAGTTAAACAATCCATTTCCAAACAAAAAATTTGAATCTTGTCCGATTAAAAAGTACTTAGCCTTATTTAGAAAGCACCTTTTCTTTTCTTTTTCCTATCTATTTGTCAGTAGCTTCGATGGGTTAATCTGGCTTCAGCGTGAATAGAGGGCGAACTGAAGAAGCTTAACTTGAAAGAACGGACTAGCATCTGCTCTAACAAGAGCGGTACGTCGTTGAATCTATCGGATCGGAACGAACTGGATCGGAATCGTAAAGATCCAGCGAGAAACTTAGTGGGCTATGTATGTTTACTGGTGGTAGGGCCTCTTGTGAGTCCGCGCGGGTAGGTACCACCACCCTGCCTATTTCTACCGTGAAGCAGTAATGAGTTTCGGTTTGAAGGGTAGGGCAGCCGTTGTAACTATACTTGAGACCTTAGAACTTATATCTCAAGGTGGGTGGCGCATTTCGTTGTAGATGTCTATGGGCTCCAGTAGCCACTTAACACCAGGTGGGCTGTGAGCTCGTCCACCGATCTAAGCAATAAAAAAAAAAACGTACCAAGAGCCCTTGGAGTGCTACTGGCTGAACAATAGCCATCATCGCGTGCGCTGCGTCCTCCCGGAGTACCGCCAGCTCCTCGACTAAGCAACGCTGGACTGGCGCGTTGCTCCTCATACGAAGGTGCTGTGTGTGTCAGCACGCCCGCCCCAGTTAAACTAGCCTATAACAAAAATAAGACGAAAACTAATAACACGTACCTGTGTTCTAGGTAAGACATATTATGTAGTCTTAGCTACAATACACCCTGAATTGAAATGAGACAGGTAGCATAAATATTTTTATTGCTCAGGCAGCTAAACTTACGACCCACCTATTGATCTTTTTTTTTTATTGCCTTTGTAGGCAGAGGAGCATGCGGCCCACCTCATGGTGAGTGGTTACCATCGCCCATGGACTTCAGCAATGCCAAGGGCAGAGCCAAGTCGCTGCCTACCGTTAAATCCTTTCCGTTCCGTGGTTACCGAAGATCATAGATGCTGACACCCATTTGAGACATGAATTCTAAGTCTCCGTTCGCAACGGCCACCCCACCCTTCCATCAGAACGCGTTATTGCTTCGAGGCAGAAGTAGGCAGGTTATAATTTTTCTCATTATCAAACTATTATTAACTAGCTTAGTGCTGGTAGAGTACACGTATTGCTAGCTACCTATCCTACCTACACCTATTGCTAGTGGTGGACATTTCAACAAGAATGCCTTCAAAAGGAACGCATTGATTACCATCAGAAACAAACAGGGTAATTGAGTCGACTATTATTAAAGCCGGCAATCTGACTTTTGGACAATTATTGGTAAATCAGAAAAACGAATTATTGACTTTGTATTCCATTGGCGGTCACAAAACTCTTCGGAACGACATCTTAGATAAATAACAGGTTAACTATTAACCTTTATTTAATGCAGGTTTTGAACCGTATTCTTTGAAGGAGACGATTATATTCAAATCAATCTGTATTGACATATCAATAACATTTTTTTGTCCAAATGCACAGAATGCCACCTTTGATAATAGACGACTCAATTGTAACGCGAATTTACCCATGGAGTCACCCTAAAACCGATAAGCACGTATAAATTTTGCGCATTTAATTTTAATATACCTACACCGATTGCGGGAGTCATGTGTGAAAATGATTAAAACGGACGTGTACGGATGATTCAAAAATATTAATACCAAAAACAGTTTGATTATTATTTCATGACCGAAATATGCGTTATAAAAAAAAAACAATACATACTATGGTATTGACTTTTTCATTATGGTCTTTGTCGTAGTTGACGGGGCGAGGTCTTGGCGGAAGCGGGCTTGTGGAGTCCGGCTTGTGTATTGTCGCGTCACACGTCTCCTGCTGCTGTTAAATAAAATATAAAGTTGGTTAAAAGACGACAACATTTAACTTACGTATGGTATTGTTTTTAAAATGGTTGCTAATTAATATTCGATCACAATACATACATTTCCATTGTGATTTGCCATATATTTATCTATTTGTTCTTGAAAATATTTAAAGAATAACATATTTACAACAGAGAAATGAAGTAGCCAAGAAGGATACTACTACGCATATAGTTTTATGAAGCTTTGAAAAGTTTTTAGGCCTGGAGTACATCTGACCTCTTCAAGAAGGACTTTTAAAAATCACTGCTGCGTTGTCAGAGGTACATCGATATTTTGTTTGACACAAAATAAAAGAAAAAAAAAAAAAAAAAACTTTAACTTTCTGTATACTAAACGGCAATTTCATAGATAAAGACCTAAGTCTTCAGTGACCAAAAAAACCGTAACGTATTCAAAGCTTCGGAAACAATATAATGACAACAAAAAAACGCGAAAATAAATCGTAAAAGTCGCTTTACTTGTGTCTCTGACTCGCGAAATCCGATGAAAATACGATTTATTATCGTTTCTTAAAAAAAAAAACAATAACAACCAAAACAAATAAATTTTAACTGTCTCTGTATAACTTATGACGTACAATACTACAGTATTATAGTGAAATAGTGCCTTATAAATAATAAATGATCCAACACTTACATCTTCGTTGCGCGGAGACGACCCCCGACGCGAGCCACTACTTGAAGACCTGTTGCTTGCCGCTGTTTACAAACAATGTTATTAACACGGTTTTAGTGGCCCGACCTGTATGTATGTATCTATGTAATCATTATCTTATGTTATCTTATACCTTTAAACGAGCAATTCTTGTATATTAATATATATATATATATATATAATCTGAATCTCGGAAATGGCTCCAACGATTTTCATAAAATTTAGTATACAGGGGATATCGGGAGCGATAAATCGATCTAGTTACGATTTATTTTCAGAAAATGTTGTTTTATTCGTGTTTTCAGTAATCAACTCTTCCCGACATCTATTGGCGAATAATAATACTATTTTTCTTAATTGAGGGCAACTAACCGCTTTAAAGATACAACACAAGATGGCGTTATTAAAAAAAAAACGAGCAATCAACGTAATTTGCGTCATCTTCAAGATTGCCGATTAACTTGAAAATTTGGAAACTTGTCGATGCCTGATGACTTTGATCTAAGAAGCCGGGATTGTCAGGGAAATAATTAGTTTAATTTTAATTTGTATTCGTAGTTATGAATCATATGTTTGCTCGATGTGGGAATTATTAGTGGTGGTAGAACCTCTTGTGAATACGCACGGGTAGGTACCACCACCCTGCCTCTTTCTGCCGTGAAGCAGTAATGCGTTTCGGTTTGAAGGGCGGGGCAGTCGTTGTAACCATACATTAACGGTTATAGCTAAAGTGTAAGTAAATCAAAATCAATGGCAGCCTAAAAGTATTCTTTTAGTTCTGTTGTTATGGTTTGCTGAAAGAAAATTCATTAACGACTTACGCTTGCCTCTTAACTTTTGTATGTTATTTCAATTTTAATTTAATAACCTCTAAATAATGAGTAATCTTTTAAATAATTACGAAACATTTTTTAAGCTTTTGAATAGTTTTTATCGCGGGCCTTGAGCGCGGCGACCGAATCATGAAATTCCGTAACGAAAAAAACCTAACACCCCTCACTCCGCCTACCATGTAGCTCGCGTTCATCACACGTTGCGCTTGTGTAGTGTTTGTGAATAAGCGCGTGGCGTAACGTCACACTGCATGCGCATCATGAAAAGTCTGTTCATCTCTCTCTCTCGCGCGGTCTAGCTTATGAGTGTGAAGGGGACTGTTAATGTTTTGCTTTTATTAATGTTTAATATAGCGTGGTCTTGTTTTATTATTGTTTTAATATTAAATTATCATTGTCTAATTATAATTGCATAAGTTGATAAAAAATGCTATGCAATAGCTTTACCGCGGCAGTTCCAGAGTGCCACACGTTTGTTTTTTTAATCTATCTTAAAATGTTACATTGACCAGCTACCGTGAAAATTATAGAGAATCCGGAACTAATAAACAGTATCAATCGTAAATCAGTAAATGCCTAAACGAATTACGAATTACTTATTCAGCCTCAAGAAATTCCTAAAATCGTTTGATATCCGCCTATAGGTATAATTGAATCGAGCGACTGAACTTCTACTAATAAAGTTATGCTACAGACGTACACTATATCGAACCGCCATTACTGGTAGCCGTAGGTAGGCGAGATAGCCGCGATCCGTGTTCCACTCGAGAGCACTACATCATCGTAGCCACGCATCGTGGTACAATCCAAACGTAAAATATTTCAAGCCCAAAAATGAAAATTAGAGTTCTGTTGAATATTATCAGAATTTAGAAAGACGAACTGAAAATGACCTCTAGACTCCTTTGGATAAAAGTAGCACCAGACAGAAAGCAGTGGGAAGACTTAGAGGAGGCCTTTTGCCAAAAGTCACGCCGAGACTAGAGACATTTTGTAGTATAAATGCAGATTTTACTTTTAAATTTTATTTTTATAAAATACTAGCTGTACCCGTCCACTTCGCTGGGCATTTTTTTTTTTTATTGCTTAGGCGGGTGGACGATCTCACAGCCCACATGGTGTTAAGTGGTTACTGGAGCCCATAGACATCTACAACGTAAATGCGCCACCCACCTCGAGATATAAGTTCTAAGGGTCTCAGTATAGTTATAACGGCTGCCCTACCCTTCAAAAAAAAACCGAAAGGAAAATTTACTCGCCTGGCGTTGTGTTCTTCATTTCACCAGCACTCACGCTGTTCCCTTGTCCAGGCATGGCCGCCATCCCGGCCACTACGCTTGCTATACTCTCATTGCTCCAGACCTGCATAAAACATTAATATATTTCAATTTAATTTCTCTATTTGTAAAAAAAAACAAAAAAATGTGGCTTCATTATAATAATCTAGATGGAAGAACCCAACATGCACCTCACCTAAGCTCATAGATATCACAATTTATGCATTCGTTTGTATGCAGAAGAAAATACCACGAAAGATGTGTGGTATAAAGAAGTTAGAGAACATCTCGCTGTCTCTCTCGCACACACCTTCTTTAAGTGATGACGTCATGAAACGTTATGCGTGTCCTTTTTTAACGTTGTGAATTACCACACAAATGAGTACATTAAAACAGTATATATACTTTCAACGGGTTTCTTTAAAATCATCCGTATTTCGATTTAGCATAATATAAAAAGAGATAATCATTAAAAAAAAATGCGTCAGAATACCGTTACTTAGTAATTTACGTATAGTTAGTTAGTTATATACTTCAATGAAACAAACAGGCGACTGTTTGGTATAATGGTTCGAGGAGCCAAGTTCGCAAAGCAAGAAGATGGGATGATGAACTGAAAATTACCTCTGAACCTCTTGGATAAAAGTAGCACCAGAAAGTAGACAGAAAGTAGTGTGAAGAGTTGAAGGAGGCCTTTGCCGAAAGTCTCACCGAGACCAGAGACACTTTGTAGTATAAATGTAGATTTTAATTTTAAATTTTATTTTTATAAAATATATTGTTTTTTAGTCTATTTTAAATTGTCAGTCAAAAAGGTAAAATGATCGAAAAATAAAGGCATTATTATTATTATGTACCTAAATACATTACCGGCTACGCTTTAGATTTTAGGTCAAAGAAACCTCTCAAATGAAAGCCCTAGTAATTAGTAGTAGTGTGTGGGAAGAAAAATAAAGTAATTAGATAGAATATTTCTCATCTAAAATTTTATAAGTCATTAATATTCCATTAAAACAAGGAGACGAAACTCGTAAAGGTCAAAGCCTACACGATATTATTAAATGATTAATTATTATACAAATGTATTGCAAGTAGCCCTAATTCGGATACTTTATTTTATTTAATTAAATATAAAGACTATTAGTAGTTATTACGATTAGTAGTAAATATTTAGAAATACTTTTTAACTTATGCCTGATACTGACTGACACACTTTTAGGACTACCATAACTACAGACTCATATTATCTATCGTAAATTTCCTGGACTAAAATAGCTATGACATTTAAACAGACAAACTGGACGATATGACTATGATTCGATTTGATTCCAATTTATTTGAATATTTGAAAACTAAATTCTCAACAAATCAATCTAATTGAATACAGCTACGTAGCTTCGTAGAGCCGTACACGAATGCTACATGCTACGACGCTCTACGATATTATAAACTTGACAAAAGACTCCGGAAAATTCGAATTTTTATTAAAGTTTATGAGATGCGTATGCAACTTTGTAGCAGCTGTGCATGTGTGAGTGGTTTTTAATTAACTGCATAATATTATGTGTACAAATTCATGGTACAGCCTTTACGTACAGATCTAGATTTAATTTAGTTTCGCCAACGTCTGTGGAGAGGTTTTAGTTCTGATTTTTTGACTGCATGTTACGTGAGTAGTATTAAGAGAATTAGAACTCCGCTGATTGCGAGTAGCACAGGACCGGTCAATATGACAAATCTATGAAGTACCCAGAAGTGGACGTCTGTGGACCGATGATGATTGTCTTTTATTATTCTGTATTTTGGCCTCCCAGTTTCGTCTTCTAGTACCCCATAACGTGTCATCAAATTAGATGAAACTAGCCGTATTCGCCCGCTTCGCTGGGCATTTAAAATTAACATTATTATTTATTGTCGTTATTATTAGGGAGTCCAACACTCATATAAATATTAGCCTTTCTACATGGATACCAAGTTTCAAGTAAATCGGATACATGGCTCAGTAGTTATAACGGAACATCCGTAAAAACCACTGAAGATTTATATATTAGTATAGATAAATAACGACTTTAGGATACTAAATGTACAAAGACAATTTCTATTTTTGTTTATTACACACGAAACATTTAATTTTCCATCAACCAACAAAGTCGATTCAACTATAAAATTATAAATATTACCCATTAACAACATAACAAGAATGTAAAGTTCCTGTATGTAATGCTGAAATTTCATTTTATAACTCAATATGATATTAACGATGAGATACAATGTGTTTAATATTTAATCTAACAAAGAATTCTCGGACATTAAAAGTTATTATTTGGAGCCTATAGTCGGAATAGCGTGTCCTCTGCTCTTATGACATCGCCAAAAACTTAAATACCCTAAAGACTTTTACTGGTGGTAGGACGTCTTGCCAGTCCGTACCACCAACCTGCCTTATTCTGTCGTGAAACAGTAATGCGTTTCGGTTTGAAAAGCGGAGCAGCCGTTGCACTGTTAACTCATGTCTCAAGGTGGATGGCGGTATTTGCGTTGTAGATGTCTTTGGGCTCCGGAACCCAATTAACACCAGGTGGGCTATGAGCTCGTCCACCCACCTAGGCAATAAAAAAACGTTGTTTTAACAGGAACTAATATTATCTTCGCGGAATAATTAGAGCAAAGAGGTCCTAATGAAACTTATTTTGTTCTACAGCCCACCTTGTGTTATATTACCGGAGCCCATAGGCATCACAACGTCAATACCACCGTGCAGCTTGAGACGTGATATCGAAGTATCAGTTGTGTTAATAACACAAATTTATAATTTTTGACATATTTTATAACTTTTGATTTAGGCAAACACGTGAAATAGTGACAAAGCTTTTATTGCGTTTCTTAACAATCAGTTCAATCGCTGCGTAGTTTTTTTTCCTACTTATGGTGGTAGCCTTGAGAGGCAATTTCAGCGTAACCTTAACTAGTAGGTGAGCTCACGGGACTCAAACCGGACGACGTTGCTAACACGAAGCCCTAGCAAGAGCCGTGCTTCGCAGAATTTACCACCGGATTGGAAAGGCGACCCACTGAGAAGATCCGGTGAGAAACTCAGTGAGCTGTGTTTGTGGGTTAATTTACTCGTCAAGCCCTTCTTCGCAAGCGACGGGTTCGACGAGAACGATGACCGGTGTTTGAGGAACCTAAAATCACCGTTAGTGGATCGGGAGGATCCGAAATGATGTGTTTTGGGCTACGTCGACTGCTTTCCATTCTGTCCGCAGGATCGGGAATGTAGTTACCGGCAGCCACAATGAGAGGGTTCTCGTGTCGTGCCGCTTTATCGAAATGGCGCATTGATGCCGACTGTAAATACTTACTAATGGACTCTAGGTCCAGGTTGTCATGCAAGCTGCGTAGAGTCTGTGATCGATTATATCCTAATATATTGGCATGAAAATTACGTGTCAATATACTTTTTTTAGGCATTGAGGCACGTGCAACTAACATTTAGTTCACATACATATAGTCGCGGTGTTTGTTTAAAATCAACGTACAATAAAAAATATTAACGCTTCAGAATACTGTCTATTTTGTACATGGCCAGTCAAGGATTCTTATTAATTACCCGAACTCACGACATCACAGCGAAGGTCGCTAAAGGAATTACAATTGGCCAAGGTCAGTGTGTCACAAAGTGCGTCTTTACTAACATCCCCATTGGGATATTCGCGGAACTACTTCTTTTCGCTCGCTTAGATGAATGAACAAATTTACCACCTGCCTGGTATTATTATATGGTTACCGGAGCCCATAGATATCAACAGTAAAAATGCCGCCACCAAAATAAAATTTAAGTCACTTTTTTATATTACAACAGCTGTCCTACCCTTTGAACCGGAACGCATAATTGCTTCGCTACAAACATGGCCCAAGTGATGGTTGTTGGTACCTATCCATGCGAGCTCCCAAGATGACCATCGGTAAACTACCTACCATCTTAATGATTTGAATTTTACTTAAGTTCTCTAGAGTCGCATTTTAGACATAGTTACGCCGGTAAGAGTAACATTATCTATCGCCGAATAATCGAACGAATATCCAAGGATCTAGTAGCATCTAGAATGCTCGAGAAGGACAACGCCATCCATTGTTAGATAGCGGAAACACAATACTTGATTTGTGTGGAATATTCTCGATAATTCTAGAGATGTGGTATCGGCGATAAAAGCGTTGCAGAGATGGCACGCAGTCAGTTAGTAATCGGAACTACTCGAAGCGAAACAGCGAACGGATCACCTGAATCGAAGCGGAAGAAGCGATTTGAGAATTTTAAAGTGTTTGTGAAGTGTTCTAAGTGACAAATACCCCCAGTGTGGTCAGAGCGCGGAGGGCCCAATCTCGGCGGTCCGAGACTGGAGTCATGGTCCAGGCGGCTGGCCGATCCTTCGGCTGGTCGTAGGACCGTCGAGGCGATTCGCCCGGTTCTTGTGAATTGGGTGAATCGTGACAGAGGACGCCTCACTTTCCGGCTCACGCAGGTGCTCACTGGGCATGATTGCTTCGGTGAGTTCCTGCACCGGATCGGAGCCGAGCCGACGGCAGAGTGCCACCATTGTGGTTGCGACTTGGACACGGCGGAGCACACGCTCGTCGCCTGCCCCGCATGGGAGGGGTGGCGCCGTGTCCTTGTCGCAAAAATAGGAAACGACTTGTCGTTGCCGGGTGTTGTGGCATCGATGCTCGGTGACGACGAGTCGTGGAAGGCGATGCTCGACTTCTGCGAGTGCACCATCTTGCAGAAGGAGGCGGCGGGGCGCGTGAGAGACGCGCAGGCCCGCCGCCGTCGAGCGGGGGCCAGGGAGGCGGATTTCGCCCCAGCCCTGGCCCTCTAAGTGTTTCGGATCTCCCTCACATGTCGACCTGGGGACCAGCGAAGGAGACCTAAGAAGATGACGTGCAAGCTGCTCTGCACGCGTTTTATGCAAGAGCATCCGGGTGATGGAAGGCCGGCTATCCTCAACCCACGCTGGTTCTGACCCAGCGGGGTATTCCGAGGGTAGA